TGAACGTGCCCCGGTGGTTCGACGTCGTGTGGCGCGTGGTGAGTCCCATGATTGAACCCGTCACGAAGGAGAAGATCCGCATCTGCAAAGGCAGGGCGGTCAAGGAGGAGCTGCTCAAGTCCATCGCGGAAGACCAACTGCCGGTCGATTATGGCGGCACAGGGGTCAAGTTGGGGCTGTCGGCGGAGGAAGTAGCGCTGGCCAAGCACGTGGACGATATCATGGAGAAATCAGGCAAAGTAGACGATTAGAGCCGAATACAAAGTACTAGTAATACCATCGACTCCAGTACCTCCACGGATCCCAAGAACCTCCATTCTAGTACAAAGTAAAACTTATCAATCGTTTCCACTTTGTTGAACTTAAGGGCGTAGATTTCTGGCCAATCACATAGCTTGGTGGGACTAATTCCGCCAATCAAAGGGCGTAGATTCCTGGCCAATCACAGAGCTTGGTGGGACTAATTCCGCCAATCAAAGGGCGTAGATTTCTGGCCAATAACAGAGTTTGGTGGGACTAATTCCGCCAATCAAAGGGCGTAGATATCTGGCCAATCAAACGTTTATATGTAACCAAGAGGAAGCCAGGACCATCGTCATATTGAGCACACTGGCAGGTTTATGCTGTGTAGGACCCGTCGACGTCGAGGTGTGGCTTTGTCTGACAAAGTCATGGATGGTGTCCGTGTTTCAAGTGATGACATGGGGGTGACGTGGTCACGTTCCATGAGTTGGATATGTGTGACTGGGTGGCTTGTGCGCGGATGCTGCGGGGATTTGGGTGGTGGAGTGGGAATGTGGTGCACGGCAAGCGACCTCCAGTTGGATTCGTCGTCGTTATTCACGACAAGGTGGCGACTGCGGAAAGCGAACCCGACGCTGCGGTTGCGTTTGCCCACCTTGACGGGCTTATCCCGTCTCACTTGGTCCAAGGTGGGGTTTTTCACGGCCATGTGCAAGTCGCGCCGCTGGTTGTCTGTTTTGACTGGAGACACCGTTGCGTGGCTTTGGAGCTGGCGGTGCGCTTCCGTCGGGACGTCGACGGCATGGAGGCGTTCCATGTAGTCCAGGACCGTGTCACCAGAGAGCACAAGCGACGAATGCTGCGACTGAAGAGGATGTGTGTGTTGTTGCCACTGGTCGACTTCGTGGGATTCAAGGGGCAGGTTGTAGTAGTGGTGGGCATACAGCCGGTACCCGTCTACGTTTGTCAGGCGGTCGCTTTCCGCCGCATGGTCCGCCTCCACTTGCGCCATCGCGGCACGGCCATGCGCGCGAATCGCATCTCGTACTTCGTCCACCACTGAATGGCGGTCAGCAAGCAGTTTCCTGGCGTCTTGAACCGGATGGGGGTTGGACGTGAAGACCCCGTCGACGCCCAGGAGCAAAAATGCCACTTGTTCCCGTACGGGACCGCTGGATGGTCCCAGGAACGTCACCGCGTCCGGACCGTTGGCGTTCACGTACACCCGCAGCCCGACCTCGTGGTACAGGTCGACGATCGACAGCGGGTGGACGTGGAGGCCGACGGGGGGCGACATCGAGCGAGAACACGCGATGAATTCGTGGTGCTTTTGAAGCAGCACGCCGTCCGCGAAGCGCGCGACGACTTTGGCCTGCCGTCGGATGTCCACCGCGTCTTGGACCGTCGCGGCCGCCGGGGGGAGGACGAACAAAAAGTCCCAGGCCGGCTGCATCTTTCGCAGCACTTGGAGCATCGTGGCGTCCCGCGACACGATTGTCAGCTTGGACGGCGGCGGCTGGTGCAGCGCGGCGATCGCGCCATTGAGCACCCGCCACCACTTTTGAAGGTCCTGGGGCGAGTACTTGACAAACGAAGAGGCATCTTCGCCCGGGAATATGAGGGTCACATGGAGGGGGCGAACGATGGCCGACTTGGTTGGAGGGGGTGGCAGTCGCGCGTGGATGTCTGCGAGCCGTGTGAGCGCAGAGCAGAGCGTGAGCAGTCGGTTGTGGCTGCTGGGGGAGCTGCCAGGGATGACGCGAGGCGACTTCATCACGTGGCGGCTTTGGTAGGCGTGCAGAATGGTCAGCGACTTGAGTTCCACGAGCGTGAGCCGTGGAATGTGCACCAAGAGGGGGTGTTTGTGGTGCTTGGACGACAACAGCGCTGGAAACACGTCTGCGACATCGGTCATGTCGTTCAGACAAGACCGGGGAAACACAATCGGGTGGTCGTCCTTGGACAAGTTGAGGCCAAGCACGATCGAGTCGACGTGTTCATGCAACGCAAACGAAAAGTACTCGTCCGTGTCCGAGATAAAGTCGACATGGGGGATGGGCGACTTGGAGGCGAAGATAGCCATGGGGACGACGGCGCGGGGGTCGTCGTCGTGGAGCACCGACGGACACGGACCGGCTTTGGCACGCGCGACGGCGCCAGGGACGAACAGATGGATGAACTGGTGGGCGACACCGGGACCGGCACTGACCCAGTCGAGCGCAAGGGAGCCGCCGGTGGTCGACGCTTTCTCGAACAACACCGACGTCGAATGGTCGGGATCGACAAGGCGAGACAACATGTCAAACACAAGGCTGCTGCACTCAGGGTACCCGTCGAACGACAAGACGCGCTTAGGTGCCTTGATGGATGACACAAACGCGTACATGGAGCCTGGAACCGGCATGCTCGTCGTGGTGCGGATCCACGGATGCGCCGCCATCGACGCCACGTACTCGCCATGCAACGTGTGCAGTACGCGCACCCGTGTCTGCACTTGTTTGAATCCGGTGGTCACCTTTTCCTCGAGCATATTGTGGGCGCGCTGCCACGTCGGTCGTCGATCGATGCGGCCGCCTAGCGCCTCGGCCAAGACGACGTGGCCGCGCCCAAGGGCTCCCACCGGTCGGTCCTGGGCTACCAAGGCGCGCACAAAGTCGACGAGCGCGCCATACCACGGCGCGGACGTGAGACGGTTGGCGGAAGACACGTCCGGAGCGCCGCATACAAAGAACCCGTCGAGGCAGCGCTGCAAGGCTTGCGTGGGGAAGTCGAGGCTCGCAACGTCTACGGTGGTCCACTCGAAGACTACGTTGGCGTCGACGGCGTGCTTGGCAAAGTACTGCTGGTACAATAGGCCAAAGTGCGGACCAAACAGGTTTGGACACAGCAGCATGGCCACGTGCAGGACAAGGGGACGCTGATGATCTTGTTGAGGGGGCAACGATAATAGACACTTCAAGTCGGGGCGGTGGGGAAGAGCTTGCATTTCCAGCACCCACGACGCACGCAACACGGCGTGGTTGAGGATGTTGGCAACGTAGTCTTCCATCTTGTCACGGTGGGGCAGCCTTGAAGGACGACGGTGGCCGCCGCCGCCGCGGGGGGAAAACGTTGATCGAAGCACGTCTGTATCTTCTTGGGCGTACCCGTGTCGAGTATGGGTAGCTTTGACGTCAGTCAGGCGACGCTGGCGCTGGCGACGACAGAGTTGTTGCAACAAGTACTCCCATCGATGTTGCGCGTGCTCGAACCGAGTTTGCTTCACGTGCAGCTACATGTTCAAAGGATATACGGTACATATGTTGTTCAGGTCAACAAGAAGGAGGTTAATATTATATACATATATATATATATATATATATGGTCGAACCTGGCGCTTGCGACGGGCAAGGTCGGTTTTCTGGAGATGCATTGTTTCCGCGGCCACACGGCGCCGATGGTCTCGACTTTGACTCACACGAACCTCCAATTGACTCGTGTACGCTGCGATCTACCAATAGTATCGTGGTAGTTCATATGTTTATTTCTCCAAGTGTTAAGTTGGTACCTCCTTGTCCAGCAATGCACTGTCCAAACGAGTCGACGGCAATTCCACCGGATCCGGTTCACGCAAGCTGAAGGGGGAAAGTTCGAGTTTGGGGAGACACGACAGCGTTCGAAACCGAGCATTAAACCACTTGGCTTGGATGCGCCGGGCGCGCGTCTGTAACTTAGCTTGGGACGCCTCGCGTTTTGAATGCAAGGCGTGGAATTCGCTGGGCATGGATGGGTTATGCTTGGTCGAGAGCAGATGACTCAGGCCTGCAGTTGCGAGTACAAGTGTCTCGTCCAGCACCCGTTGGCTACAACACCATCGGTAGAATATGGCGCGCCATCGTTTTCGTACATACCTGACGGCGACACTTCTTGCCTGGCGCATCGCCTGGACGACAAGCGAGATTGACGTGCACTGTAAAAATGGGGGCAGTCCTTCCAACACTTGCTCAACGAACGGCTGGATATCAGACGCTATCGCATGTAGCTGAAGTGCCACAGCATCGGCATCTTGGTATGTCTCCGCCATAACGTCGGATGTCACGTCCATGATCGAGGAGTTGCGTTGGGGATATGGACGTTTCTTGTCAGTTACCTCTCTCACGTACTGGCCTTGATGAAACCAGCGCCGACGTCTGGCGGTGAAGCGCAGAAATTGCGCGAGGTCACCGACATGAACAATGGGTGACGCGCCCATTGTGGTGCAGCGCAGTGCATGTCCCGTCCGTGCGTCGGCGTTAACGTTATCACTGTCAACTACCGTATGTAACCGGAAATGCCACAAAATCCGGATACTGCAATTGGTTGGGTCACTTTGAATTTCAACATGTCCTCGACACCGTTGCAAGAAGCGCTTTCCCTGATCGCCAGCCAGTCCCCGCTGCTGTCGGCGGAAGGGCTTAACAAGCTCAACCAACTTGCCTTTAATACATGTATGTTGCGTGCTGATTGATGTGCGATGATGTGTCCCATGCCATCACATGTAGCGCAAATGAAGGTCGAAGCGGGTCAAGTAGGCGCCATTGCTGCGATTGTCGACGCCATGACCCGGTCGCAAGAGAACGGATCCATTCAGGAAGATGGATGTCGCACTCTGCGCACGGTGGCCTTTCATTGCGGTAGGTCCCATGCAAGTTTGTGTTCCCGATTCATCGGACCTTGATATGTAGAACCGAACTTGAACTTGGTGCAGCACCAAGGGGCTATTGATGCCGTGGCGACCGCCTTGCGCCTGCATGGGGCCAACGAAGCAGTCGTGGCAGAAGGGTTTTGGGCTCTGGTCGTCTTTTGTGCGAATCACCGTAAGACCATACTTGCATGCACTTCAACCCTCCAAGCCGTGGATCAACGGATTTGCAACGTTAGATGGCAACACGGTGGTCGCGAAGGGTCTTGTAAACGTGACGGAGGTCATGGCGACGCACGCAGCAAATGCCGAGATTCAAAAGAAGGGAATGTTTCTGCAAGTTCTTTTCGGTTAAAATACTAAGTACACTGTCGTGCCCAAATAATAAGTCAACTACACCGTCCCATACACGGTCGTGGTGGAGGGCGTGGCCAGTTTTCCGTAGACAGGATGCTTAGCTGGCATGTGCAGTCGATACACTTCCACCAGCATGAGCACCGCCGACAGGAGCGCGAGGGCGGCGCCGATCTGGAACATGAGCATGGAGCCTGCGTCCGAGAAGACGAGGTTGAACGGATCGATGAATTGGCCCACGGAGCACATAAATAAAAAGCCGACGCTCACGCAATTCGTGCCTACGATGTTATATAAGCTGAAGGTTCTGGCAAATATATACGAAAATACCTGTGACCCAAAACTCGAGTTTGTGGAGGCGGCAGACAAACCAGCGATGGATCACTTCGACGTGCGCTAGGTACGCGCCGACACTGAGCGAAAAGAAGCCCAAGAGGCTGGGGATCCAATGGCCCCAAAAGATGCGCGGGTCCCCTCGCGACAGGTGAACGACTCCATACACGACCATCTTGGCGTGGTAGACGTAGCCCCGAGCGCACAGCAAAAGGAACCATCCAAGGACATGCAGAAGCGCGCTCCAGTAGTCGATACGGAACGGAGAAAACCCGAGCCATTTCATCTTGCGGATCGGAGGGTCGGCGTGGACGTACTCGTGCAGCCATCGCTACAATGAGACGACTTAGGAGAACGTCATTAGACGAGTGAACGGAGTGGATGTACAGTACTACCTCGAGGTCATGGCAGCAATTGATCACTTCCAAGTATGTCAACAACTGAGCGACGAAGAACGAAGCGGCACCCAGAAAGTACGGCAAGTCGATCCAACGGTGGAGGAGCTCCAGGGGAACGGGCGTCTCGTTGGGGTCCCCGTCGGTGGCGGTGGCCGCGGTATCGAACGCGATTTCGTTGTAGCTTCCATACAGGAACAGCGCCGCACCGAAAGCGGAGAAGCAGGCCGACCATATACTCCAGGAGATGATGCACCATGTCGAGTCGGAAGAAAAGGCCAAGTGGAGCGTGTGAAAAGTCTTGCGGTGGGCTCGGGAACTCCACAGCACTCGTGTGTCGTCGTCCACCGAGTAAAAGTCAATGAGCGTCGGCCAAAACGAGTCCACGCCGTAGAAGATCGGCTTGGCTCTTTCCCGACGAGGCATCAGGAGGTTCTGTGACGGATACCTCTGTAGAGACGACTTGATCGATGCACCTGGCCTGTCCATCGTCGAGGCGGAGGTGCGAGAAGGTTGATGGAGTGGCAAATGCACAAACATACGCCAGGTAAATCCGGATATGAATCTTCATCCGGATTGAATCGAATCCAAAATTGCTTGGTACATCGACTTCAACCATGTTGATGATGGATTTTCGAATTGCTGCGAATACACTGTAGCGGCAACAGTCCGCGTGATAAGGCATGATGTGTATTTTATTGCCGCAACGAGGGATTTCGTCACCGAATGCGACTATTACCGACGTTGTTAGCGATTGTCCGCTGAACCCCCGAACCTCTTGTGTTGCTATTCCCAGGGGATGGATGTTGAGAACACGCGTGCAATCGGGGAAAGGTCGTATCGTACTACTACGTAGTACATGTAGTATTGTGAATTCGCTATAAATTTCCAAAATACACGTGGTTTGTCGAATCAATACTTACAGTTAATTACGCTGGAGTTCTGATTGGTTGAATATACTTGTTCGTTCTGTAAAAGCCAATCAGATCCACTCAAAATTGGATTAACCAATAGTGTCGATTCGTGATTCGGTTCGGCGGCGAGATTCGGTTCGACGGGGTCGCTGGAAATTTGTAGTTACCCCCGAATCCACAATACTATTAGCACGAGTGTGCCCCCAAAAGCCTGACCTGTCCAATAATATATCCACTGGCATTCACATGTCGAACGAGGAATACTGTACACTAATGTTAGGCTAAAGGGGTGTTCCATGACAAGCAGGGTCTAGTCGAGAGTGTATGTACATACGATAGGAATGTAGGCATAAACTAACGTTATGGCATTAATGTTACAACAGTTGAATGCATGCTCATGTAAAGAGACATGTAGACTGTTAAACGGTTAACGTTAGGAAGACGACGATTGCTGGGCCAAACTTTGGCCGCCAAAGTGTCCCTTTCGCCGAGATGTTCGATTCGAATGTGTCTGTGGAAGATCCAAATGAACCAATCAAAATCCGTCATTCAAGTGTTCCATTTCCCAAGATGGGGCGAGTATCTTCATTGTGAATTTGCACTTCAACACTAGCGACACCGCCAAGAGATGCTGCACCGCTTCATCCGCCCCCGCGGGGCTGCCGCCGCTCGCTCGTTCTCGATCACCGCCACGTCGCCATTGTCTCAAGCAGCAGCTGGCACGGCGGCGGCGGGCAAAAAGTTCAATGTCGTCAACTCGCACAACGAATGGGACCCGCTGGAAGAAGTGATTGTAGGTCGAATCGAAGGCTCGACGATTCCTGAATGGCATGTGTCGGGGAAGGCCGTGTGGCCGTCGCGATACTGGGATATGTACAAGACCCAGGCGGGCGAATCGTTTCCTCGAGAACTCATGGTGGAAGCCGCCAAAGAGCTGGACTACCTCTCGCAGGTCCTCGAAGGCGAAGGCGTCAAGGTCCGTCGCCCCGAGTTCAACCCCGACGACTTCAAGACCCCGGTCCAAACGCCCGACTTCAAAAGTCTCGGCGGACTGTACGCCGCCATGCCACGCGATGTGCTCATTGTCGTGGGCAACGAAATCATCGAGGCCCCCATGGCGTGGCGATCGCGATACTTTGAGTTCCGTCCGTACCGATCGCTGCTCAAGGAGTACTTCCACGAAGGGGCCAAGTGGACGGCCGCGCCCAAGCCCCAGATGAGCGACGCCTTGTACAACGAAGACTGGGAACATTCCTCGGGCGACTTCAACTCGGTCGTGACCGAGTTCGAGCCCACGTTCGACGCAGCCGAGTTTACGCGCATGGGTCGAGATCTTTTCACCCAGCAAAGCCAAGTGACCAACAAGTTTGGGATCGAGTGGATGCGCCGACACCTGGGCGACGACTACCGCATCCACGTGCTGGATTTCAAGGACCGCAATGCCATGCACATCGATGGCACGTTTGTACCGTTGATGGAGGGAAAACTCCTCGCCAACCCTTATCGCCCATGTGTGACGGGGAAGCCCGTTAAGACGTACTCGTACAAGGACAAGGAGTACGAGTACCGGTTGCCCGAGATGTTCAAGGGGTGGGAAGTGTTTGTCGCGCCGACGCCCGAGTTGCCGCCCACGCACCCGCTATTCTTTACGAGTCCGTGGACGGCGACGTGCAATGTGTTGGTGGTGCGCCCGGGGGTGGTCATCGTCGAAGCGCACGAGAAGCCTGCCCAGAGGCTGTTCAAGGAGTGGGGCTTCGAGGTCATCCCAGTGCCATTCCGCAACTTCATGCCGTTTGGTGGGTCCTTCCATTGCGCGACATGCGACGTGCGTCGCACGGGCACGTTGAAGTCGTACTTTGACTGATCGAATTAATAAAACATGCGTTGGGTTCAAAACACCAAAGTACTGTACTGGAATACCAACACGTGCAGTGAATGAATGGTAGTACGCAAGTGTGCTTGTGGGTCAAGACTGCCTGCACTGCCAGTGAATTGCGGCCCGTGGTGAGTAGCACAATGTAATGACGAATGACTTCATTTCCCACAACCAAGGATGAATACCGTGTAGCCCTTCGTACTGAAGAACGTCATATGATGGGGGCTTTAGGTTGCATGTACAGTATTGCTGTGGAGTTGCATACACAGTTTTGTATCTCGCCCCTGCCTTTCACGTTGCGGGGGGCTTTACCCAATAATGTTGCGCTGAGTAGGACGTTTGCAAGCAATCTCTCGATGCGACGAACGTGAGAAGCTGCCGACAGCCCCCCCCACCAAATCAGCAACGTACGGTATCGACATGTTTAATTACCCGGTAGATAGGTACAGTACATTGCCCACGACAGGGCGGGCTTGAGCTTGCCACACGTTTAAACCGTTACCGACGCCTTGGGTTAAACGTGTTGGCGTACACGAACGCCCCAAGAAATACCACCGCCGTGCCAATCCACTGCCCCGTGGAGAAGGGCTGGCCAAAGTAGAACACGCTGAAGACGAGGCTCGCCGCTTTTCGAAGCGTGAGGACGACTTGGAGGGACACGGTCGACACGACGGACGCCAGTCGGTACACCGATCGGATACACACGTAGTTGGTCACGAGGTTCAGGAGTACGAGGCCCACCAGTGTCCAGAGCTTGTCACTTTGTCGGTCTGCATGGAGATATGTCCACGACGTCCACGTCGTGCGGAGGTCTTGGCCGTCGCCAAATGCCATGAGAATCAAAGCAAACGCGTGCATGAAGAACATGCTTTCTTCGGCGGGATGCGGCTGTCCGGGCGCGGCATGGGCTCGCATCACGTGATTTTGAACGTGGCCAAGGATTGAGCCAACGACAAGGCCGACCAGCAGCAGCGCAATGCCGACACGCCAATGGCCCACTTGTGCCAAGGTGGATTGCACGATGGGGTAACTGCACACCAAGCTGCTGGACAACATGCTATCGGTACAGAAGGTCGCACGAGTACTGGTCGAGGTCGAGGAGGAAGGGTCCATGTACGAGCAGGTGCCAATGCCGACAGAAATGAAAAGAACGCCGAGGAATTGATGGCGCGCATAGGCTTTTCCAAACACGAGGTACCCCGTCGCAAGCGATGCCATGGGAGTTGATGCTCGGAACAAGTTCAAGAGTGGGAACGATAGCCCGCACGAATGAGCTAATGAATTGGCGCGACTAGACACAAAGTAGAGCAAAGACAATCCGCCGTGGTAGACGAGAGGCACAGCGATGTGCGTAGAAGTAGGGAACGTCATCACTGCGATGCTGACAAACTGCACGAATGTGAGCAGCGGGCCACTTCGTGGGTCCATGGACAGGATGCTCTCCATGGCAGCACCTTGGATCCAGCAGCATGCGAGGACAGTCACAACGATAGTCACAATGGTTGTAGTGTTTGCGTCGTCGGTCGACTTGGTGGCAGCAGCAGCGCCGCCTCCATCCGAGGTGACGGGTGGTTTCGCTTTCTTGGTTGCCATGTCGAAATTGTACTTTATCCGAAAACTTTACGGATAATTCTATGGTTCTAACAAGTTGGTTGGTCATTCATTCTAAATTGTTGAACAGCTCACTACTATATAAGGCTCCTGTCGATGTCGTCGTTTCGAGCTCACGTCGTGAAATATGCTGCGAATGCAAGGGGGACATCTGCTTGCCATTCCAAGTCGGCAGCCTCACGGCACTCGAAATTATATTCCGACGTGCGGTGAATGCGTTGACAAGGGTTTGCTACAGTACAGTACAGTCATATCATGTTGGCACTGATTGTCACGACTGGTCGTTGCCAGCCGTCAGCTGTATCGTATTCCACGAGTAAGTTTCTTCTTCAATTTGCTGGCACTTTTCACAAGCTCGCAACCCTCTCTGCCTTTGCCTTGGTGGCGACGAGCGAGCGAGGCCCAGCCATAAGTACAGTTTACGTAGTGTTTTTAACGCATTTGCGTTTTAATGCAATCGTACTTGACCACAGTAACTTCGGAAGTAGCAACCGATCGCCGATAGGCAATGTGATACACTCTGATGTATCATGATACATAAGTGTATATACCGCCGACACTCGACAGTGTTGACGGCGTATGTCGGTTTACCTTGAATCGGACATGCACCGATGGATTGGATCGCGGTGATGAGCTTCGAAGGGGTCGCCTTCTGCATGTTTTTGGAGGCATTACCCATTGTACATGTACTAAACGTAAATACTGTGAGGTGGAAAGTGATGTGGCACACAATATTCATCATACACAGCAGAATGCACTTCGACTTCGAGAGGAGATTCTACGCCGCGTCACGCACTGTCGCTCACTCAAGGTCAAAGTCGCATGAGAACACACAAGTGGATATTGACGATGAATCTGTTTAAAGCATTATCGGGAAGGGCTCGCATCATTTTGAAGGCAACGAGTTTGCAAGCGCTAGAGGTCACATTTGATACAAACATTATGCGCCACGAACGTGGTTCGAGTTACAGTAATGTGATTGTATCACTCATCCACCTGTTGATTTTTTATATACGCTGCGTTCTAAATTCCAAGCTCTTCGAACTTCGGTTGAGTCGTGGTGTCCCTCCCATGGATATTACAGTACGTATGAATGCGTGGGCGATGTTTTTTTATTGTCACTACTACCTCCAGTCACTTGGATTGTAGCTGCAATAGAATTATCCGCACCATTCGTTGACGGGAACACTTACCGCAATGGTCCACCTTCGAACTTCGATATACCGGTAGTGTACAGGTACAGTGGAATCTTAGGGGGGTGCGTCAAAACCACCTGGTGCGTCCGAAACGGGTTCTAATCAGAGGGGCAACAAATGATTTGCGTGACACATTCTTTTGCAACGGTATACAAATAGCCTGATAACTTTAAATGTTTCAAAATAATGCACCTGTCAGCATCGAGGTACAGCGCATTTCACAAAAGCCACAGCGACTCGCACACCTGGTTAACTGTAAACGACGGAGTTGACCCAGTCTCGACCACCCCCCCCTAGGATTTGCACAATTAGACCTGCACAGATGAAAGACGAAACCAGCAACACACAACGCATGCTGCCTTCTCCCCATGACGCCATGCGGACAGCGCCATGCCGCACCTTGCCAAGCATGGATCAGTTGATTGCACGCTCGCCCAACCAAGGCACTTCTCCACATCACGCAACCAGCACCTCATCGACACCGCTTTATGCGCATTCGCCAACGGCTAATGCAGGTCCCGCCGAATACCCCAAGCCCCACACGTACACTTACAGCAAGCACCCCCATCCTTCAGGTGTGCCGACCTTCCCCGACGACCAGCACCGACGCGACCCTTTCTTGCGAGCGTCGCCGTACCCGAACGACCAATACCATTACGAGCATCACATCCCTCGACAAGCGTATGGCAACATGCAACCACCACCCCAGCATAATCCCTACTCCCACCCACGCCACCACCAGTATGCCACCTCGACAACGTCGTCGTACCCTGGTCACTTTGCTCATTACGAAGACCAACACGCATCTTCTTCGATGCTGGAAGGTGCGGGTCGTCGAGACTTTCAACCGCCGAGGGGGCGACATGGCGACGACCGGTATGGAGCTCCTCAGCATCTTCATGGGCCCGCGCACGGTCGCATGCACCCTGGAATGTATCCCGACGACCCGTCCAAGGATCCTTCGTCGGCTGCGCTGCACGGAGGCGCCGATCTGAAAGACGCGAAAAAGCGCGAACGATGGACACAGGATGAACATGCGCGGTTCATGGAAGGGCTCAACATGTACGGTCGAAAATGGAAAAAGATTCAAACGCATGTCAAGACCAAGACAGCTGTGCAGGTATGTACAGTGCTTTAGAATAATAGTCTACACGCTCAAACACTCACACAAACGCTTGGCGTTAGGTGCGCACGCATGCGTACGGGTACTTTGCCAAACTTTTGCGCAACATGCCCGAGGACGACGTGATTTGGGGCGCCGCGGAAGAGCTGACGTCGCTCCCCAGCGCCGTGCTCAAGGGCCCTGGTAGCGGCAAACGCCGCGTGGAACCCATGACTGGACGGGACGGCATGGACGTGCTTCGGAAATTTGTCTTTTCAAAGCGGAAACAGGTCAACGATGACGGCAAAGGCAAGGCCTCGTCCGACGACGATGACGACACGACAGCTTGTACTGCCGCCACCCCAACGGTCGCATCGAGCGACAATGCGTCGGCTTCGTCCGTGGGAGACGACGACGACGACGAAGACATGGAACATAGCGATAGAACGATGAGGACGACGGCAGCGACCATCTTGTCCGTGGCCAGAGGCGGGCGAAGCAACATCTCATCTCCTTCGTCCGCCAAGGAAGCGTCAAACCTCATGCGGGAGGTCGTGCTCTCTAGTCCCACGATCAACCCGATGAAATCCTACCAGATGGCGTCCATGGAGCAAGCAGACATGACTCCAACCTGATGGAAGAATGAACCCCCGCCGTCCAACGTAGGTAGTATGTACTGTAGAAGCAACCGTGGAAGGACGAACGATAACGATAGTTAAATGTGTCGCGTGCTGTGTGCTTTAACGTTATGGTTGTTCCTTTGGTCCCTTCTTGTTCGGGATGTGTGTATGTTGGTATCGACATCCAGTTTGATATGAACTCGCATACCACTTGTCTCTGCGACTTCTCGTGAACGTAACAGGCGCGGTGACATTTGAGGATGGTGAAAGCTGCTTGAAAGGGATTACGTATTTATAGAGTTTTAATCGGAATAAATGTTGAGAGGTTCTTCACCTTCCATCGTTTGCTTTCAACCTCTGGCGGTGGAACGGCGAGTGCATTAATCGTCCACGATGGATTTCCAGAACCGTGCCGGGTCTAAGCCTGGCTCTGGGGGCGTTGCCTCCGAACAACAACAAGCCATCGATCGACGGGAGCGCCTTCGCAAGTTGGCCCTGGAAACTGTCGACCTCTCCAAAGACCCGTACATTCTCAAGAATCACTTGGGAACGTTCGAGTGCCGACTCTGCCTCACGTTGCACAGCAACGAAGGCAACTACTTGGCCCACACCCAAGGCAAACGCCATCAAACTAACCTTGCACGTCGAGCTGCCAAAGATGCAGCCGACGCATCTGCATCCGTTATCCCAACGAAGCCCACGATTGTGCCGCGCCGCACCATCAAGATCGGGTTGCCGGGGTACCGAGTCACGAAGCAACGAGATCCTGACACCGGAGCTCGCATGCTCTTGTTCCAAGTAGACTACCCAGATGTGGCTGATGGCTTCCAACCTCGTCATCGCTTCATGTCAGCGTATGAGCAGAAGGTGGAGCCAGCGGACAAGAACTTCCAATACCTTCTCTTGGCATGCGAACCGTACGAAACGGTGGCGTTCAAGGTGCCAAACTTGGATATTGACAAGGCGGAGGGCAAATTTTTCTCCAATTGGGACAAGCTGAGCAAGTCGTTCACTCTGCAGCTGACGTTTGCCGTCGAACAAAGCAAACCATCGCGCCCGGCGCCGCCACCGCCGCGTCCTACGCGTCGCTTCTTGTAAGCTTGGTCAAATGACAAAATGCAAATGATTTAAACGAATTCTTGTTCTGGTTGGACGTTTGTCGGGGTGTTCGCACTGTTAGGATATACCGGTATGAGAATGCAAATGCTGCCAAGTTCCTTCGTGCCAAAATACATTTGCACATGGCGAGTAGAAGCTGTACAAGGATAGTTGTTCTAACGTTTCCGTAACTTAGCATTTTAACCAACTAACAACACCACTTTCGTCTTTCGTGTCTGGCGATGCTTCAGCTGGTGTAGCAAAAAGGTCCCATGGGGCACCTCGCTATAAGTTTCGGAGGATGCCAGAGATACTAAGGGATGTGAACCGAGCTAGCAATGAAGGTCTACCAGAGTAGCAAGTATCACATTGCAATAGTTTTGGATGTGCCATCGAACGAAAGTGCAATTTGCAGTTAACGTTAGTACTACTAATAATAGTAGCTTTTTAAATGTCCTTGTATTTAAATTCACCTTTTAAAAGAGATGTGTTTCGGATTCCATCGTCGCTCGACACAAATAGCAAGTGTTGGGACCTTGATATCTGAAATTAAAATACTTTGCATTTTCAATACCTTTCCTTGGCTCCCATCCATTTTACTGGGTTTGTTTTCCGGATGCAACGTATCCGGAACCGTCATTCCATGTTGAGACACCATCGGGCACGCTCATTTTTCAGTTTTCGAGCTCAAATCATGTCGGTCGTTGTGACTTGCGGTCATCCGTCTGCCCCTGAGGCGACGAAGGGCCTTGCATTGCTTCGTGATCTGCAGAAGCAAGGCTTTCGTGTGGCTGTCCTGGGCTCTCTTGCTTGGCGCGACCAAATCGTGGAAGCCAAGATCCCGCACATCCACTTGACCGCGCCAAGTGAAGTGGAGGAGTTGCTCCAGTCGCCAATCCGCCTCGTGGTGGCGTTCCTTCCCGACTCGACTGTCACATCCGAAGACGCGTTGAAGTCGTGGGGTGTTGGAAGCCACGGATTCGTCCGGTCGGCGGCCTGGGCTTTTGACAAGATCGCCGTCGTCGTGCAATCGGACGATTTTGCTCGCATCCGCGACGCGGTGTCACAGAACGGCGAGCTCGCTCTGTCCCTCAACGACCGCAAATCATTGGCGCAAAAGGCTTTCCGCGCGTTTGCCTCTCTGGACAACCGTGCTGCGTCCTCGCTTCAAGTAGACATTCCCCAGCGCAACATCCTCCTGGTCGGCAACGGCGGGCGCGAGCATGCCTTGGCGTGGAAACTCGCGCAATCTCCGCAGGCGGCGCACATATTCGTCGCTCCTGGGAACGGCGGCACTGCCGCAGGGGCCAACCCAAAGATCTCCAACGTAGCGTTGTCCCCGGACCGCCCCGACTTGTTGATTGCCTTTTGCAAGGAAAACAATGTGTCTTTGTGTGTGGTCGGGCCCGAAGCGCCGCTGGTGGCCGGTCTCGCCGACCACTTGAACGGCGCCGGCATCCCGACCTTTGGCCCGAGCGCGCGGGCGGCACAGTTGGAAGGGTCGAAGGCGTTTTCCAAGGACTTTATGGCTCGCCACGACATCCCCACCGCCGCGTACAAGAACTTTACGCGGTACGAAGACGCCAAGGCGTTCGTCGACTCGATCGAGTACAACGTCGTGATCAAGGCGTCGGGCATCGCCGCCGGGAAGGGCGTGCTCATTCCCACGACCAAGGAAGAAACGGTCGCCGCGCTCAAGGAGGTGATGGTGACCAAGGCGTTTGGCAGCGCTGGCGACGAGGTCGTGATCGAGGAGTTCATGACGGGCGAGGAAGTGTCGCTGCTGGCGTTCTGCGACGGCCAGCGCGTGGTGGCGATGCCGGGGGCGCAGGACCACAAGCGCATCTTGGACAACGACCAAGGGCCCAACACGGGGGGTATGGGTGTGTACGCACCGGCGCCGTGTCTTTTCGGGGCTGTGGAGCAGCAGTGTGTGGAGATTGTCCAGAAGTCGGTGACGGCGCTGGCCAAGGAAGGGATGCCGTTCGTAGGCGTCTTGTTTGCCGGGTTTATGCTCACCCCCACTGGCCCTAAGATCGTCGAGTACAACGTCCGGTTTGGCGACCCAGAAACTGAGGTGCTGTTGCCACTGCTCAACAGCGACTTGGTCGAAATCTTCCTCGCCTGTGTCGAACATCGCTTGGACGCGTCGTTGGTGCGCTGGAAGGATGGCGCCGCTGCCACGGTCGTCCTCGCCTCGGAAGGGTACCCAGAGAGCTACCCCAAGGGTCGCGTGATCACCGGCACGGACGCCGCCAACGCCCTCCCGAACGTGACAGTGTTCCATGCGGGCACGACGCTCAATGGAGGCGACGAATTGGTCACGTCCGGGGGCCGCGTGCTTACCGTGACCGCCACGGCGCCGTCCATGAAGGACGCCATCCAAGCCGCGTACAAGGGCGTGTCCAAGGTCCACTTCGCCGGCGCGCAGCACCGCAGCGATATTGGCCACCGCGGCCTGCTCCGGTCGTGCCCGACCATCAAGCTCGGCGTGCTCGGGTCGACCCGCGGCAGCAGTTTGCAGCCAATCTTGGACGCGATTGCCGCCGGCGAACTGAACGCGACCGTGGAGATCGTCGTGAGTGACCGCAAGGCGTCGGGCATTCTCGAACGAGCGCGGATCCACCACATCGACGCGCACGCCGTATCTGGGAAAAACAAGACTCGCGATGCCGTGGACGCCGAAGTGACGGCGCTGCTGCAGTCCAAGCAAGTGGATTTGGTGCTCTGCATCGGGTACATGCGCATCTTCTCGGGCTCGTTCTGCCAAGCGTGGGCTGGCCGTGTCTTGAACGTCCATCCGTCGTTGCTGCCGGAATTCGCCGGCGGCATGGACCTGGCAGTCCACCAAGCGGTGGTCGACGCCAAAAAGACCGAGACGGGGTGCACAGTGCACTACATTACGGAGGAGGTGGACGCCGGCCCCATCGCCGTCCAGTTGAAGTGCCCAGTGTACCCGACGGACGTGGCGGAGAGTGTCAAGGCGCGCGTGCAGCCGCTGGAAGGCGCGGCGTTCTTGTACGCGATCAAGCGCCATCAGGTGCATGCGTACCTTGGCAAGACCGTCGTCTCGTACGCTGACGCCGGCGTAAACATTGACGCCGGCAACGCGCTCGTGCAAAAGATCAAGCCGGCGTGCAAATCTACGGTGCGCCCCGGATGCGACGCGGACCTCGGCGGGTTTGGCGGGCTCTTTGACCTCCAGGCCGCCGGCTACGACAAGGACACGGTGCTGGTCGCGTGCACGGACGGCGTCGGCACCAAGCTCAAGATCGCGCAGCTGACCGGCCAGCACCACACGGTGGGAATCGATCTCGTCGCGATGAGCGTCAACGACCTGCTGGTCCAAGGCGCGGAGCCGCTGTTCTTCCTCGACTACTACGCTTGCGGCGCGCTTGACGTGACCGCGGCTGCGCAGGTCGTGGAAGGCATCGCGGAAGGATGCCGCCAGAGCGCGTGCGGTCTCATCGGTGGCGAAACCGCCGAAATGCCATCCATGTATCACGGCGGCGACTACGACCTCGCCGGGTTTTGTGTCGGTGCCGTGCACAAGGCCAAGCTTCTGCCGCTTCCCGTGCACCATGGCGACGTCGTCCTGGGGCTGCCCAGCGCCGGACTGCACTCGAACGGGTACTCTTTGGTGCGCAAGCTGGTGGATGTGGCCAACCTCACGTACGAAGCGCCATGTCCGTGGGAACCGACGACGACGTTGGGCGAAAACCTCCTCACCCCTACTCGCATCTACGTGAAGGCCTTGCTTCCATTGTTGAAACAAGGACTGGTTCGTGCGATGGCGCACATCACGGGTGGAGGACTTTTGGAGAACATTCCGCGTGTGCTCGCCGACACTGATGCCGTCGAGATTGACTCGGCGGCGTGGCGCCTCCCGCCTGTGTTTGGCTGGTTGCGCTCTGTGGGCAACCTCCCCGACGAAGAAGTGAGTCGGACGTTCAACTGCGGCATCGGCATGGTGGTCATCGTTGCCCCGGAACACGCGGCGCAGGTGGTGGAACTCCTCAAGTCCGAACAAGTCGTTCGATTGGGCTTGGTCGTGCCGCGCGCGAACGATGGCGCCCAGGTGCTCTTCAAAGGCCCTCTGCAGTTCTAAGATCATCATCCATGTTGTTGCTTTCCTTCCTGCAGCTCATCGCACCACTTTGTGTCGTACATATTCATGTCCGCGACCAGCGATCAGCCCATATCTCTGTAAGGGGTTGGTTGCGGATTATAGCGTACGAACATATTGGTTGAAGGTATGGGCTCGACCACCATTATCCGGATAATTTGTCCGGATGTTGAGCAATTGCGGCTTCTTTCCATAAGCCGAATTTGGATTTCTCACGAAGGGGATGACCGACGCTGACGATCTCCTGCGCATGTTCCAGAGCATCACGACCAATGACCACGACGACTTGGTCCAGCAGTTCTCCAAGATCCTGCAATGCGACGCTCCCACGAGCACGTTCTTCCTCGAAAGCTCAAACTGGAACGTGGAAACCGCAGCCAACATGTACCTGACCACGACGGGCGCCGCCACCCTCGGATCCACGGACATGTACCAAATGGCGCAACCGGAAGCCAGGTTTCTTAGTGACTTGAGTGCTGCTCAAAGCGCACTGCTGTTGCCCCTGCAACCCGTGCAGCTACGACTGTCCTTCCAGAACGTTGGATCAGCACCGTGGCCGGAACACACGTCGTTGGTGCTGTCCCAGGGATTTCATTTCAATGCACCCCCACAAGTTCAAGTGGAGTCTGTCGACGTGGGATGTACCGTGGACGTGAATCTGAGCTTGATCATGCCAGCGGAGAGCGGGACGCATTATGGCAACTGGCGGTTGATGTGGGAAGGAGGGTACTTTGGGGACCCCGTGTGGGTGGTGCTGACGGTGGTTGATGACAAAGGCAGGGATCTGACCGATGACGGCGCCGCCACGGCCAGTATGGACGTGGTCGATGCGGACTCGTGCGACCCGGACGACATGGAGCTTTGAAAACAATCTAACTTATAATGTACATCATTGACGTTGGTGCGATGTTGGAGTCCCGCACTAGTTAGGGGTGTTTATACTTAGGAGTTCCTTGTTGTCCTGGTGCCACTCCCTCAACCGCAGCGCCCTGCCCCGACACTGTGGGGGCTAATAAAGAACACTGTAATGTTGTCGGTCATAGTTATGTGAGCAAGGTATTGAGATGCACATAGTTAGGGCAATCCCTGGGCAAAAGAGTCGAAGACATGCTCTTGTAGTGCCTTGAATCAAGGCCGTGGTTTCTCTCTTGGCGTCCTTCGCACAGTTCTGAAACGGCGTAAGCAGGACAATTGACATGTGTGACTCAGGAGGGAATTTACATGTGACGACCAGACTATATAGGACATGACGCGGATACATACAAATTGCGAGTAACTAATTGGTTTGAGAGCATGGCTACGCTCATGGTCCAACCTTGGTCGAATGAATGAATGGAATATAAATCAGAAGAGTATACAGTTGAACCTGACTGCGAAGGTGTCATGACGCAAGGCGAAGACGCGCCGTTCTTGATCAAAGGGGATGAAGGCTTCAACCTCAAGCACGAGTTCCGAGAGCTCGTGTCCATGGCCTTTCAAGTCAGTTTGGCGAGCCTCGTCCGTATGGGCCTGACTGCTATTGACAGCGCTTTCTTGGGTCATCTGGGCGTGCAAGCCTTGGCTGCGTCGTCGTTGGCGTCGGTGTGGATGGCAGTTCCTTTGTACGGAGTGTGGTCTGGTATCTCTTGCCTCGTGACGGTACGACATTCATGCATTCCCCCCACGCACGTCCTAAGTCTTAATGTTTAGCTGTGTGGTCAAGCGTTCGGCGCGCAGAATTACCAGTTGGCCGGCATTTGGCTGCAGTTCGGAGTGATCATTTGCTTCTTCATGTCGTTGGTATCTGCCGTATACTACTGGAACATTGGCATCCTTCTGCGCATGTCCACGTCCGACGAAGAAGTGGTGGAGCTCGGCATTCGCTTCGCCCGCATCATGGCACTGACCATCTTCCCGAGTCTCACGTACGCGTGCATGCGTCTGTACTTCCAGTCCATGAGCATCGTCCTTCCCACGACCCTCGTGGGGCTGGCGTCCGTGGGCGTGGCCGTAGGTGCCAACTACATGCTCATCTACGGCACCGCCACGTGGCCAGGCATGGGCTTCGATGGGTCACCATGGGCTACGGTGATTGCATGTCTGTTTCAGCCCACGGCGCTGTACTTGTACTGCGTCGTGTGGAAGAAGTACCATCTTCGAGCGTGGGGTGGATGGAAGCTCGACGAGCTGACGTGGGAACGCTTCTACACGTTCACATCTCTCGGAGTGCCAATGGCATTCAACTCGTTTATTACCAACCTCGCCAGCGCCGGCGTGGCCGTCATGGCGGCCAAGATGGGTCCCGAGATCGTTGCTGCCAATGCGATAGTGACCCAGTTCTGGACGCTGCTGTACGCGTTCTTCTGGGGCTTTGGCTGCGCGACGCAGACCAAGGTGGCGTTCTACCTGGGCGCGGGAAAGCCGACTAGCGCCAAGGCCGTGACCAAAATCGGCGCCATCTGCACCATCGTCAACGCAGTGGTACTGGCCGCGGTCATTCTGTCGCTGCGCCACCGCATCTTCATCGTGTACACCAACGACGAGTCGCTGCTGCAGCTTGCGGGAGTGGCCGTGCCCATCTTTGTGTCGGCCTACTTTTTGGAGTCGCTCGAGATGTTCATGGCGGCGGTCCTTACGGGCATGGGCGAAGTGCGCGTGATCTTCTGGACGGCGCTGTTTGCGACGTGGTGCGTACAGTTGCCCGTGTGTTATGTGTGGGCGTTCGTGTTTGACGCGGGCTTTGCATCCCTGTGGAACGCCGTGTGCACGATGGAAGCGGTGAAGTTGGTCATTTTCGCAGTCGTGTTGGCAAGGGTGGACTGGGACGTCGTGACGGACCGCGCCATCCAAGCGAGCGAGGCCAAGAGACCTTCGAAGGATGACGACGAGACCGAGTTGAGACACCAGAATGAACAACTGGTGGAGCTGTCGGACATTTTCAACGGTCCTACGATGGCAGGCGCCCCTCGAACCCCCCTCGCGTCCGCCGCCGTTACGCCGTCGTCCACTCGGATGCGGAAACGCACCCTGTCGTACGGCGCTGTCGTATCTGACCAAGCAGGTCATGTCTAGACTTTCGGGATTGATTGTGTATGTCCAAAGTATACCGAAAAAGAACTTGTATTCATGGCAGCGTTAGTTGTACTAAAATCAACACAAACGGTGCATGGTTGTCTATGAGTAACGTTGCCGCCAAGACACAGGTCATCCATCCCTCGCATTATTCGTCCGTAACGCAGCCCAGAGACGCCGACGACACGTTTTGAATGTACTTGTACAAGGCGCCGCGGGTGGCTTTAAGGGGCGGCGCGCGCCAGTTGCTCGCGCGCTCGTGCAGTTGGGCGTCCGTCAGGTCCACGTCCACGCGGTTGGTCACGGCGTCGATGGTCACCACGTCGCCAGACTCGAGCAGGGCGATGGGGCCCCCCACTTGGGCTTCGGGGGTGATGTGGCCGATGATAAACCCTAGTTGAAAGGTAATAACAACACACACAAAAGGGCAAACTGGGACGAACCGTGGGACCCGCCCGAGAAACGACCGTCTGTGAGCATGGCCACGTCATTGGCGAGACCGGCCCCAAACAGCGCCGACGTGCATGTCACTAAAATAATACAATATCCATGACATATATATATATAATAGATTAGTGACATGTGTGGACGACACAACGTACACATTTCCGGCATGCCAGGGCCGCCCTTGGGTCCTTCGTATCGGATCACAATCACACTTCCCTTGGTGATTTCTCCGTCTTCGAGTGCCTTGAGCATGTCTTCCTCGCAATCGTACACCTACACGATGACATTCTCCATATTGCATGTTCCTCTTCGTTTTGACGTACGCGCGCAATTCCCTTAAAATGCAATCCTTCCTTGCCCGTGATCTTGGCCACCGCACCTTCCGGCGCCACGTTGCCGCGAAGGATGCGGATGTGGCCTGTCTCCTTGAGCGGCGTCTCCACCGCATGAATGATGCGCCCCTTGTCCGATAAGCTCGGCAGGTTGGCCACGTTTTCCGCCAGCGATTTGCCCGTCACAGTCAAACAGTCGCCGTTCACCACGTCTTTTTCAATCAAGTACTTGATCACTCCCGGCACCCCCCCGACACTACCACGGTAGGTTTACATCGCACAAAATACACCAATAGATACGTACTTGTGCAGATCCTCCATCACGTATTTCCCACTGGGTTTGAGGTCAGCAATGTATGGCGTGCGGTCGGCAATGACGGCAAAGTCGTCCAACGTCAACGACACGCCGGCGGCGCGGGCAATCGCGATGAAGTGCAGCACAGCGTTGGTCGATCCGCCCAGCGCCATCGTCACGGCCTACCCTCGTGATTTCAGTGACGACATGGGTGACGACATGATGATGTAAAACGTACGATAGCGTTTTTGAATGCTTCCCGCGTCAGAATATCGCGGGGTTTGATGTCGTGCTCCAAGAGGTATCGAATGGCCTTGCCAGCATCGTGGCACTCTTGCTGCTTTTCCTTGGACTCGGCGGGAGAACTGGACGAGTACGGCAGACTCAACCCCAGCACTTCGATCGCAGTGGCCATCGTGTTGGCTGTGTACATGCCACCACAGGCCCCAGGTCCAGGACACGCCTTGCGAATGATGTCTTTGCGGTCGTCGTCGGTGATGCTACATAAGGGTGACGAAATGGATGGACGTGATAATTTACCGGTTGGCCAAGAATTCACCGTAGCCTTCAAACGCAGACAAGGCGTCGATGGTCTGGCCGTTGCGGCAACCCGCGCGAATGGTGCCGCCGTACACGATCAAGGACGGGCGGTTGTGGCGCGCCATCGCGATGAGGCACCCAGGCATGTTCTTGTCGCACCCAGGGACGAGGATGTTAGCATCGTACCATTGCGCTCCCATCACAGTCTCGATCGAATCAGCGATCAAGTCGCGAGAAGGCAGGCTGTACGACATGCCAGCCGTACCCCTAAAGCAGAAACCATCAGAACACACACATAGACGTGATGAATGAGAAGTATCATCGTACTGGGCAATGACGTCGCTGACCCCCACCGTGTTGAAGCGATACCCGATCAGGCCAGCATCTTTGACACCCTTCTTGATTTCGTTGGCAAGGTCCAATAAATGCATGTTGCAAGGATTGCCTTCCCACCACATACTGGCGATCCCCACTTGCGGCTTGGTGAGGTCGTCCTCGGTGATGCCCGTCGCAAACAACATGGCTTGCGCCGCGCCACGCGACTTGTGTTCGGTCAAGACGGAGCTGAACTTGTTCAGCTTCGATTTGTCGTCTCTATCAGCGTTGGAGCTCATGGCTCGACGTGCCAGCTGCATGGACTGGCGGCGCCACGGACGACTGATGACCAGCATATCAATCGGTGGTTCGAAAGTGTAGCAGCAGCAGCATCAACTGTGGGATGTAGCACCGACCAACACACGATATTTTCCGGATAATGCACCTGTGCAATTCGATCTCGTTGGTTGAAACTCTGTGAAACTTGATATTTTGTGTTTGTGTGGAGAGAGCAACCAGCAGCTTCCAACCCGAGCAACCAAGGAACCCGAAGGAAGCAGCGCAGCAGAGCAGGTCGACCAAGCATGTCGGTGCACTTCAAGTTCAAATCCGAGAAGGAGTTTGGGACAGTCAACTTCCCTGGCACGACCATCCGGGTGATTGACCTGAAGAAGGGGATCATCGAACAGAAAAAGCTCAACAAGGGACAAGACATGGAGCTGGTGATCACGGACTTTCAAAACAATACTGGTACATACATTGCATGATGAGGCTGTGATCTGACGTGTCCCGCAGTATACGAAGACGACAACCAGCAATTGCCCAAGAACACAAGCGTCATCGTGAAGCGCATGCCAGCCAAGAACAACGTGGGCATCCTCGCTCGAATCAACGCAGAACAAAAAGCCTCGTGTGTACTTCTGCATCCTCCTGAGCCTGCTACTGCATGTTGCCTCGTTGTTGACCTCAATAATACGTTTTTCTTTGATTCCGTGCGTTCCCAGTACTTATGCAACGGCATTCTAGAGCGCCACTTCATCATTATCTTGTTCCAGCGGCTGAACCAACACCTGCGTTGGTACGTCTCCATGTTCGTGTTGGACGAGCACTTGTATGCCTTGGCATCCCACACAGATGAAGTTTCCACGTATGTGTCTCTGATTATGGTTGTTCCTGTCCAGCCGAGCACCGACGTCGATAGCCAAGCAGCAGCCGGCGGGGCGGAAACCGTGGAAGATGAGCTGGAAGCGTTGCAAGCGATCCAGCAAGAAGCCGAAGACGCACGCAATGTCCGCGGGGGCGGCAACAAGACGTGGACGGCGGGCGGCGGGGGCTTCAAGGGGGGCGCACCAGGGGGGGTGTACGCAGGGAGTCGAGGGGGTGGCTTTGGCGGGCGCGGTCCTCCAACTGGCGGACGCGGAGCTGGTGGAGCCGCCATGCAACCTCCGCCCGGGGGGGACCACTCGGTTGAGACCCCCCCGCAAGGCTACGTGTGCTACCGATGCGGCGTTCCCGGGCACTTCATCCAGAACTGCCCCACCAACGGCAATGCCAACCACGACAAGCACATGGTCAAGCCGCGCACGGGCATCCCGTCGAGTCTGATCAAGTCCGTGGAAGGACCGAACCAGGCGCCAGGGTTCACGGTGGTCAACACGGGCCCGAACGGCGGCCTCGCCATCGTCGTGCCGCAAGTCAAGGCGTTCGAGAAGCTGGTCAAGTCGTCTGGCGGCGGGTCCGGCCTCGATCAGTACCGCCTCGTGCCCCCAGACCACCTGGCGTGTCCGATATGTAAACGGTTGATGCAAGACGCAGTGTTGATTCCGTGCTGCCACGAGGTACAAGGCGTACTAACGACAATACAGCAACTCGTGTGTGGGGGGACGCTGTTAACGCTGCTACTACTACTACTACTACTACTACTACTGCTACTACTATTGCTACTTTGTGAAAAGGTATGGGGGTTATAAGCTGAAAACATGTGGTAGAGCGCGTGCGACGGGTGCATTCGCGATGCGTTGATCAGCCACAACTTGACCTGTCCGCTGTGTCGCAAATCCATGTCTCCCGAGAACGTACGATCTGGTTCAGGCTTTTTGTTGACGGGTAGTCGTCCTGATCAAGTTACAATATGTCTAGTTGATTCCAAACAAGGGCACGCGGGCGTCGGTGGAAGAGTTTTTGAAGCGGTCGCAAGGCGAGGCCCAAGAGCGAGAGCGGCTGGTCAAGGAAGCGGAAGCCAAGGCATTGCAGAAGCAACTGGCGGCCGACGACACGGAGACCGCCCAGCGCCGCGTCGAGATCGCCGACGCCGTCCTCGACATCTCGAAAAAGTCCAAGGCCGACGACGACGACGACGACTTGGGAGGGGATCTGTTTGCCGACGAGCCAGAGAACGACGCGGCTCCGGTAAAGGACGAGACCATCCCTCCGCAGCAAAAGCCGGCCCAGTCGAGTACAGAACCGTCGAACGAGACTGCGATGCTGTCGCCCTCCAACGAACCAACAACGTCGTCGTCGTCGGGCAAGGGGGTTGAGGTCAAAGCTGAAGACAAGCAGCCCGACGGACGAGACAAGAAGCCCCGTCGGTCGTCGTCGGCCGGACGCCACCATCGACATGGACCGCCCCCTGGCTGGCGGCCGCATGGGGGCCCGCCTCCCGATTGGTTTGACGGACCGCCGCGGGGCCCGTGGTTCGACGGACCTCCGCCGCCATGGGCCGCCGGGGGGCACTTTGGCCATCCCCCGCCGCACATGTACTACGAGGGGGGGTACTTTGGAGGGGGCAACCCGCCGCCGTGGATGCGGCCACATCCCGGATACCGCGGAGGTCCGCGCGGCCGATCGGCGGAACGTAAAGGGGACAAAGCAGGTGACGACAAGGCGCCTCGGCGAGGCAGTCGGAGTCGCGAGCGCCGACGCAGCAGTCGCGACCGCAAGTCATCGAGGTATCCCAGTCGAAGTCGCAGTCGGCGTCGGGACCGATCCACCGAGCGCGAGTCCTCGCGCAAGTCAACTCCCCGTGACAAGAAATCCGACGATAAGCAACCAGCATCCGAGGCGTCGCGGGACGACAATGTCGATGGACGTAGTAGTCGCAACGACTCGGAAAAGAAAAGCAAAAAGGGCGAGAGTAGCCGACGGGGCAGCGAAAAACGAGCCGACGACGGGGATCGAAGCGGCAGCGCGGCAGACAAGAAACCGAAGGAGAAGTCAGGTGGCAACGAGAAGGCTGCGAAGGACGTGTCCAAACCGGTGGAGGCGCCAGCGATTGACTTGGACTTCCTCGAAGACGATTTGACGACAGAGGACAAACCGATGAACGCATCCAAGAAAGAGGACACGACCAGTGACGTGGCGCGTCGGAAGGCAAGTGACGACCGCAGAGGAGCTCGGGACGACAAGCAGCGCAGCGACCGGCATGACAGACACACGTCGGATAGAAAGGGGGACACGTACCGACGACGAGACTCGGACCGCAAGTCGGATCGAACGGACGACCGAAAGACTGAACGAACGGACGACCGAAAGGCAACCGACGACCGAAAGACTGAGCGAACAGACGACCGAAAAGGGGGGGGGAAGGGAGACGACCGCCGTCGGGGGGACAAGAAGGCCGACAAAGAGGACGAGAAGAAACGAAGCAGCGAACGGCCGTCCTCCCGCGACGACAAACGAGGTGACGGAAAGCGCCGCCGCAGTCGGTCGCGCGGCCGAGCCAGCGAGCGGAAGGAGGTCAAGAAAGCCGAAGTAGTGCCCGAAGAGCCGCCAAAGAAGAAGCGATCGGTGTTTGAACGCCTTGGACCGGCAGTCAAAAAGTAGATTGACATTTACGCTAATGCAACGTGGTTGGTCGAATATGAGATGTTGTTTGGAAAGGTATGGCACTAGGTATACTGTAGGGCACATGAAATGTACCGGTAACTTGCCAGTTTCAATGGTGACGTTAGCCTAACTTTATGTTGGTCAACGTCCACACAGTTACTGGGATTTTAATCTGGCGGTTACATACTGTAACGGGAATTCATCGACGAAAGCAGGTTGGGTGATGGAGGGATATGTGTTCAAGCAAGGCCACGTGGTCAAGAGCTGGCAGCGACGGTACTTTCGCTTGGACACGTCCACAAGTGTCCTCGAGTACTTAACGGTAACGAATCATTCGTTACCAGTACACTCGTTACGAAAGTACTCGGAGAAATCGTCCAGGGCGAGTGTGTTGGTAGGAGCTCGCCATTGCATTGGCTGATGTGAAACTGGGCGACGAAATCGGATCTATTGATGAGGGGTTTCTAGAGTATGTACGCCGAGCACGCGGCGAAGCTGCCGATCCCTCCACCAATTGCGCCGTCAGTTAGCCACAGCCTCAAATGTCCACCGACTGCCGCCCCGCCACAACAATATTGTGATAGCGATGCCACCCGACCTGCTCGGCCTAGATGGCGGAAGACGTACTATACGTACTGTCATATCGACATAATTTGGACGCCCTAGGCTTTGGTTTTACATGTAACGTTATCGTTGATACTTCGAATGACGTGAAAGCTCGAGTCGCCAAGGTTGGTCGGACGCTCTTGGCGAACGCCTTAAGATCGTAAAGTCGGAAACATTTGGAAGCATGGAGATTGTTTCAATTTGTTGTGTTGCTATCAATCAGTCTCAAAGTCCTCGCTATCGTACGACGGCTCGGACCGGCGCGACGTTCGAGCAGAATTTGAATCTGCCGTGGAAACTTCTTTTCCAGGCGACTCTGCTTCGGGAACCTGTACCATTGATGAGAGATCTATCAGTATCAGTCAGTACAGAGAGCTACGTAATACCTCATCATCAATCTCCACCACTCGGTTATTTAGCGCTACGTCGGCAGCTTTCAACGCAGCATCCACGTATGCTGTAGTTGTGTGGTCGTTCTAAGTAGCCACACGTTGATAAGGACGGTAAACACGATGGTCGAGTGATAGTTACGTTGTCGCGGCCGCCTAGCACGGTGGACCGTAACTTGGACCCGAAGCGAGAGCTCGATGGCTTCGCATCGTCGGGGTATGCACCGCCGAGTTCTTGTAGCAATTCCAAGGCGGCTTTGTGTTCGTCTCGTAGGTCGGCCAGCGACGTTCCAGTCGCTGTGTGGATTCTCCCGCTATCCTACGCATCGAAACATGTTGTTAATAAGCTCCTTCCACCGAAGGGTAGGCGACCTTCTTCCCAGCCTTTGGGTTGGCTTTGTGGGTTCGTTTTTGGTCGGCTGCTTTGCCGTGATCGGCCGATGCTTTCTTGCTTTCGTGGTGCATTATTGTCGTTTTGGATTCACGTGATGTGAACGGATTGAAATTCAGTCGCGGCACCACAGCGCCGTCGCCATGGTTGGTCGCGTGTCCGTTGGGCGTCAAGTTGGGGGTTGTGGCAGGCCTAACAGCAGTTCAACCGTGTTGTCAGACAGATCAAGTCGACTATCGCTTACGAGTCACGGTCGGGTGAGTGGGTGATGGTGGATGATGCCGATGGGGCCGACTCCGAGCGATGAATAGTCGTCTGAACGGCGTCGTCCGAGTCGAAGAGGTCCAGCAGATCGTCTCGACGCCGAGGGTCCGCGTACAGTGCTAGGTCCGGGTTGCTGCGCGTGGACGTCATGTGGACGTCGCGTTTGGTCACGGTCGACTTGAGGGCGGGGAGCTTGTCGGCACGGGACATCGAGCTTCGACTGGGGAGAGGCCTGACGTCCTTTTTGTCACCTCGTTTCGATGGCTTGATCGACGACGACCGTGGTTGAGCATGTGGCGGCGGCGGGCTCATCTCGCCCTTCCTGAGCCCCTGGAAGGCTTCGATTTCGGACTCGGGGTGGAAAAAGCTGTCGGTTGCCACGACATTGTGCACCGAAAACGGACTTACAACAAGTGGAGATGACGCACTGGCGCGTGGTGGTGACAACGGCGACTCTTGATTCGAGTGAAATTTCAACAACGAATTGTAAAAGCTGTCGTTGATCGTCGCCGATTCCAGCGACTCCATGTACATTTCTGTGGGTGTTGGCTGTTTCTCGTGCTGTTTTTCTGTCAACAAACAAAGCATTCAGCAGGGACAACGTGGAGAGATTATCAGGATTAGAACTCACTGGGGAGCTTTTTCTCCACTGCTGGGTTCAAGTGGGTTGACACGCTTGGCTTGACCTTTGTGAGCCGTTGCTTACGAGCCGCCTCGGCCTTCTCCCTACCATCACGATATCATCTAGGAAGGCAATACGCATATTTGTGACTCTTCATACATCATCTTCGTCGACACCGACGAGTTGCGCCGAGGGTCGGCCCAGTTGAACGACGCCATCGTGTATTTTTAGCCAGGCAGCAACTTGACATTTTGTTGAGTCGACCGGATAATATCCGGACACGACGGTTCCAATCAGTTTGGGCAGATGAATTTGTCTCAATTATGTGTGTGGAGAGAGACCAGTGCTACGGAAGAATATGCTGCTGCTCGTTCCCATTTGATGAGTCACAGCCTTGATATATACACCCATGTTGGCATCATCGGACACATGTAACGGCACCCGCCCATTCAACGTGCATTCAACTACACGTCGAGTTTTGGGTCATTCTCATCTGAACGAGCTCTATGTGTCGGTCCGATATTGTCCATGTGGGCAGCAGCCACAATGTTGAAGGCATCTCTCCGAGGTGTTTCGAATATTATATCTCGCGCCGACGAGCACCCTTGGTGCAGCAGTGCCAGTGGTCTTCGAAAGTTGACCTTGGAACCTTGCTTTGCGTGGGCGAGATCTCAAATCCAGTTCTCCGATCGGCCTTTATTGACAGTTTCCGGATACGGATAAGATGCCCATACAAAACGCAAGAAAGGTTGTGCCCCAGTGAGTTGGATCTTTTTGCAGGAGATGCCATGGCCCCAGTCGCAAACAGGGCGATAGGAAGCACTCAGAATACAATTACCTCTGCGATCGTTAAGGTTACTCGATGGAGAGCCAATTCCCAATTAGGCCGACGTACTTTCGCGGTCTGCCACTGAGCGACGAGAACCAGCGGCAGCATGTGGCAACGGCCCGCGAGATGGCCCAGTCTCTCATGAACTTGGCGTACAACGAGCAATGGCGCTTTGTCCCGCCCGAGAAGGATGGCGTTCAGTACAGAAAGGATACGTCCAACATGGAATGCTCGTACCGATTCATTCGGAGCTCGGTGACTCTCAAGTGCACGCCGGCCGAAATGGCGACCATGATGAAGCACCAGTCGACCGAGACCATGCGCAGCTTCATGCGCAAGTTCATGGGCAAGTCGTTCATCGACGGGATGGTCTTGCACTCGATCATGCCATCCATGGACAACAACGCGACCGTCGACGCCACGTCGGCCATCACGGACGAAGTCGTGACGGTCAAGTGGGGCGTGGTGGATGCCGGCATGGGCACGCGTCGGGACGTGTGCGTTCTCGACCTCGTCGGCGACACGTTTGTGCCCAACACCCCCGAGAAGGAAGCGCTGCACATGTGGTGCATGACGTCCGTGGACGGCAACAACGTCGGGTGCCTCTCGCTCAAAGATTCGCACAACATTGCGCGTATGGAGATCTCCAAGCTCGGGTTTTTCTGGCGAAAACTGTCGCGGGACGAGCTCGAGGTGGTCGTGTGCGGCAGCTTCAAGTCCAAGAACGTCAAGCCCGTGGCCGCGGGGGTCGTCCTGGCGCTGCACCGCCTAGGCGACATCCTCGAAGACCTCCGGCTGAGTTTTCAACACTACGCGGACAGGTCGACGTGGGTCAAGGACTGCGACCGGACGGGGTGCATCCTGTGCATGCGGACGTTCCACACACTTCGGCGAAAGCACCACTGTCGCATGTGCGGCGACCTCATCTGCTCGGATTGCAGCATCGTCAAACTGGTCAACCTCAACGTCATCGGGTCATCCAAGCTGCGGCTGTGCAAGGTATGCTGCATCCGAGCCAAGTCGACGCCCGTCGTGCCCACCGTCCTCCCCCCGTCGCGCCCTCCTGTCCTTGTCAGCGACAAGGAGTTTGGCATGGACTCGGCACGGTCGCGGGGCTTGACCAACCAAACGTGGTTCGACTCTGGGTCGCCGATGAGTCCGAGTCAACTGAGCGGCTCCGAGTACGACGACGACACGACCGTCGACCATTTCTCCACCAAAGGACTGTGCGGCGAAGTGCTGCGCTTGTCCGTTACGCGGCTCAGCACAGTTCATCAAATCCCCCCGAGGGAGTCGACGGGGGTGATGCTGACTCCACCAGCAAATCGCACGAGATCTGCCGACAAGCCAGCGCACGGTGTCGGCACGCGCGAGAATTCGTTCGAGCTGCTGTGCGATTTGGCATGCGAAGCCCTCAACTGCCCCATCGCAGTCGTATGTCTCTTGGACGGGTCAAAGGAAAAGATCAAGTCGCTGGTTGGACTGGACAACTGCGCGCTGCAGATCGAAGTCGGCGTCTTTGTGGACAAGGTCATGGGGCTGTCCCCCATCGTCGTGCTCGATGCCGCCACCGACAAGCTCACGATGGCAATCTTCGACCGCGTGCCCATTCTGCGCTTCTTCGCCGGCTGCCCTATCTTTGGCCGAATGGGCAAGTACATTGGATACATTTGTGTAGCAGATACTCGCAAGCGAACGCAACTCGGTTCGAGCTGCGCGTTCACGATGGAGCGGCTAGCGTCGCTCGCGGCTACCACCATGGAAGCACACACGGCGGCGCCGGAAGTCGCGTGTCCATCTCCTATGGGCGACTCGACAGAAATCAGGATGCGGGACCTGCTCCTCAAGTCGTACATGACCCAACAGCAGATTGCGACTCAAAATATGTGGCGTTAAGAGCCCACTTATCCTATTTGTTCCTGTCTTGCAAGTCAATACCCTGTTCGAACCGACGCTTTTCCTACACGTTAAGATGTGAGCTTCATGGGGCATCTTACTTTTCCAGTAGGACAGTAGACACCCACAGTAACACATGCAAAGGCTCGTCGAGATTAAGGGCATGTATATATTATATACACTACTAGTACCTATATATATATAGCAGTTGGCGCCTACACTGGAAGTACTAGTATGAGTAGCAATGGTATATCGTGCAAAATCACACTAACATTAGCATTATCCCAACACCAATGCTCGCCTAGGCAACCTACACAGATGTCCACTTCTGAATGCATTTATTACTAGTTTACCGTTAACAAAACTAGCTAATTCCACGCTGCAAATTGTTTGGTGTCCACGGCTTCTGCCACCAAGATTTGATCAACCTTGGCTCCCTATAAATATACTTTTGAAATTCTGGAGCGATAAATCGAGGGAAGTCTGTTGGACGAACGGTTGATGGTCCAGCGAACGACATCACGCACAGCTGGAAGAACTTGGTCTGCATGTGCCGAAACTCGACCAGCTCCTTCTGCAACAGCGTCGGACGCGCGAGCTCGTACTCGTTCATTTTGGCCACCATGACTTCCGTGGCTTGGGTCAGCTTGGCTTGGGCTAACTTGAGCTGCCAACACGATCATTACAATTATCAGAGTATACAACTAACTAGTTAGCACCTTTTCGTCTCGTCGAAGGACGTCGGCGGCTTCGCGCGATTCGCGCGCTTTGCGGAGCTTTCGCACAGCGGAATCGTAGTCGAGCTTGAGGTTTTCTCGGTGATCCAGCTCTTTCTGTGATGGTGTTGTGAGAGGAAGTGGTATGAGTTTGCATACCTTGAACTGATACAGGGCGTCCAGTTTGCACTGCACATCCACCACGACATTGGCCGACAACATGGATCCCTATGAATGAACTCACTATAGCTAGTACTACTTGGCACGAGAGCGATATACCGCCAATTCCCTCGCCGCCGCGTCGATTTTGGCCATGGACTTGGTGAATTCATCGTTTCCACTGGCCGCCTTGACGCCATACGCTTGGCTGTTGTTGGCATTTCGGGTGGGGATGTCCGTTCGAATCATCGTCATGTCGTCGCCCAAGAGCGTGCACGCGTATCCCAAAGCTACAAGTGATAGTTCAATCACAATGTTCACACCAAGTGCCACGTACAAACCAAGTTTGTGACAAAGCTCTTCATGTGGACAAAGACTTGTTCGACGTTGGATACGAGCTCGAGCTGGCGTTCGCGCAGCACTTGGTATTCGTGGTCGTCGGAGCTCTCGGCCTTCCCCATCTTGGTCAAGGCTTGCTGAATGAACCGGCGTTTGGTCGACCGGATCTTGTCTAGAATTCCATGCGGTCCGTCATGTGCTGTCGGGGACTTGGGCTGCTCCATTTGGTGCTACCAGTACTTCTATCGATTGCTTTGTGGCCGTTGCGTCCGTCGATGCACCAGCCCGCTGGTGTGAGAATTCACCAGACGTTGAACCGATCGACCAAATTCTGAAACCGACGATTGAGTACACTCTGCATTCGACTATTATGTTGTAACTGTAAAGAACGGGGGAATCATATGAAACCGTGGCGAAACGAATTCTAACCTACCGGTACAAGTAATTGGTTACTGTACTGTACCAACCTACATGGAATCGATAGCTCATTCGGTGACGTGTTCACACTGTCAATTGGGGCTCACCTCCTCGCCAAGGCATACACGACCTCTGCTACGCACGCTGCGGTGCGCCAAGTTTGTGGGCGGATGCTCTGTCCTCGGTGTACAAATCTTGGTCATTGCAGGAAAAAAGAAAGTCCACCTGTGGATTTGATCAGTGATGTTTATAACACCTTCGTGTACGCTAACAGTACAGTACCATTGTTACACCATTGGTAAACGACATCAACATCAACGGTGGTTTCTGAGTGGCATGCAGCCCGTCGTTGAAGGCGCCTACAAGCGGCGTAAGCGGTGCAGCTCCATCTGTAGACGAGCGACCTGATCGACAACTTGTGTATGCTCCATGGACAAGTGATGGAGAACTGCAGTGAGAACATTCGGGTCGTTTGCAAGCATGACATGGTCGTTGTCGTGGATTCTTTTGTTTGGATATTTCAACAATCCAACCAAAAGACAGTATCTATGGCCGTGCTTGTAGCATTTCCACAGTGCTGTGGCAATCGTATTTGCTTGAGAACACAGTGTTGAATTTGCCGCCGTGGGTACACAAGACGGGAATGTTGCGGCTGGCGATCGTCCTGCTCTTGGTTTCCTCCCTGCTTGCAGACCGACGCGGTGGTTGCAATTGCAAGCGCACGACGAAAGGGCGAGAACCCCAACAAGCGCGGCGAGAAATGCCAAGTGCCGACACTGTGGCGAACGGCCCCAACGTCAGCCACGTTCCTGCCTCCTTGGATTGGTGCCAGCAAGGGTTTTGTGTTCCGTCGTGGAATCAGCACATTCCGTCCTACTGCGGGTCATGCTATGTGCATGGGGCGTTGGCGAGTGCCCAAGACCGCATCAAGATCCTCAACTTCAAGCGCGGGTTCACTGGCGCAGACGTCATGCTCGGCCGTCAGAGCTTTCTCAACTGCGGGTATGGACATGGAATGGGGGACGGATGTGCGGGGGGTGAGCCCCGCGACGTGTTTGAGTTCATGACGAAGTTTGGACTGCCCGACGAGACCTGCCTTCCGTACAACGCCACCGACTACACCAAGTACACGTGGACGGCCAATGGAACGTGCCCGCCCGAAGGTTTCTGCATGAAGTACGTGAGTAGACAATGCATCATTCCACATCGACTATGGTCATTCTACGATAGCTGCATGTACACAAACGACAGCCCCGTGACGCCAGTGTGTTTTCCCGTGACAAAGGTGGTGCGGTATCGAGCGACGGCGTACGGCTTTGTCCAAGGCGAAGCTGCCATGATGAAGGAGCTTCTCAATGGACCCATAACATGCGGCATCGCGGCTTCCATCGATTTTATGGACAACTACACGGCTGGCATCTACGCCGATCGCTCGAACGCCGTCGACTTGGACCACGACGTGGAAATTGTGGGGTGGGGTATCGACAAGGATGGGATCAAGTATTGGCACGCCCGCAACTCGTGGGGGACGTACGTCCTCCTCCTGTACTAGGTGTTGGATGACATCATCATACATGTTTATTGTTTGTAGGTATTGGGGCGAAGGTGGCTTCTTCCGCATTGTTCGGGGAGTCAACAACCTCGGCATCGAGAGCGACTGCATCTATGTGGTGCCTGACGTGACGATGGAAGATCTCGTGTGGAGCGACACGCCTGTGTATGGAGGGTCCATCTTTGGCCTTCGTCCACTAGAGCATCCCCCTGGCGACGATGTGGTCGACTCCACCACCGACGTCACTGTGAACAGCACGACTATTCACCCCAGCATTTCCACTGGCATCCACCACGCCAATTCCACCGTGTCGCTGGTTGCAATTGCCATCGTGTGCACGATCGCCGTCCTTGCAATTGGCTTTCTCGCCGGTCGCATGAGTCGACGCCATACGTATCAACGCATTCATTAACGGGGTTTTTACCATCCACCGAGACCCAGGGTAGCTGTGGTCGATTCAAGTACACTTGAATTGTTCGTGTCTGTCATATCTTCGATTGCGTTTCACAAGGAAGTCCTCACACATCGCCCGTGCCCACCATGGCCACGGAGCTCACGCCTCCATCCACTACGATCCATATGTGAGTCCACAAGTCAAAACGTAGTTGGATCTCGCACCGTAGATGGTTTGGCCCGTGATGCCACTAGATAAATCGCCGCAAAGAAACGCAGTCGCGTTGGCCACTTCCTGCGGCGTGACGTTGCGGCGCAAGGGCGCCGTGTCCGCGACGATCTGCCTCATCTTGGACAAACCTGGGATTCCGCGGGCAGAGAGCGTGTTGATGGGGCCGGCACTGACAGCATTCACTCGGATTTGGTGCTCCCCCATCTCCAGTGCCAGCGCGCGACACGTGGCTTCCAACGCCGCCTTGGCAGGTCCCATGCAATTGTAGTTTGGGACTGCTTTCGCGGCGCCGAGATACGATAGGGCCACGACACTCCCGCCGCTCTGAAGCTTGACGTGCTGCAGCAGGGACAGCAGCGAGATGGAGCTGACGTGGATTGATGTGAGGAAGTCTGTGGTGGGAGTGTGAAGGAAGGGATGTGTGAGGGCGTCCGGGGATGCAAAGGCAACTGAATGCACCAAGCAGTTCAATTCGACGTCTTTCGTGAGCTCTTGTAGAGCCAACAAGTCGTCGGGGTTGGTCACATCGCATTGGACGTGGAACAGTGGAGCACTCGGCAAGGACTTCACACTGGGCTTCGCTCGTTCGTACGAGGCAGGAGCAGACACCAGTCCGACAGCGCAGCCATGAGATTGAAGCGCAGACGCAATTGCAAACGCCAACGAGTTCTTGTTGGCCAGGCCAACGACTAGCGCTTTCTTGCCATTCAACCGCAACCCAAGCCCAATTCCCATTGCAAATCCCATTTTGTTGACCCTTCCTAGTATTACTAACCAAGGTTGTCATACTATTCGAATAGTACTACTACCTACTGATTAGTATCCTACTAGTACGTAGCAGTCGAAATTACATATTCGCACGATGGGAGTTCAAGCGACGAGTCCTTCGTTGGCGCTGCCGCAACCGCACAATGACATCTTGTTCTACGGGACCCTAGACAAACGACGTAAGTGAGCTCCTCCATGGGTGACACCATTAAGGCCATGATTAGGGGACGGTGCCGTTCGCGGCGGATGGGTATGTCAGGAACGAATCACCCTATGACATTGTCTGACAAGTGGAGGGGTAGGCAACCCGGCTGTTCCTTCTCACGCCAAAGTGGTTGGTGTACTTCCGCCACACCACGAAACAGGATCTATTGGGGGAAGAGCGCGAGCGCGTTGCCTTGTCCTCCATCACAAAGGTCCTCGTAAACCCACCACCTTTCACTTTGCACACCTGGCAGCATTGATCCGTGTAGATTCGTGTTGCCCCTGAATCCGAGCTTGCCTCGACTGCTATTGACATCCCGAACGAGTACTCATATCTGGAGATCACATTGGATACGCCTGGCAAGACCCTCCTCATGCGAACTGCAAAGTCCGACGCGATGTCGAGCCATCACTGGGTCACGGTGATCGAGGCGCAGCGCCAGCTTCTTTTGCACCCCAACGCCACCGCTCTAAAGCCAGTACACCCAGCCCATAATGACACATCTGCAGCATCGAGCAGGGCCTTCGACGAGCCGACTCAGCGACAAGTGGGGCTCGTGATCTTGGTCGACGACTACACCGAGCGCGACGAGTTCGTCGTGGCCAAGTCGGTGGCGTTCGGGACCCAGATCAACTTGGGGCTGGTCAAGCAAGGCGGCGCGTGCATCATCGTGCTGGACGACGGAGCCATCGCCCGCATCGGCACACAGGCGCTGATGGGCAGTTGGGACGCCAACGAAACGTGCTGGGTCGAGTGTCTCGGCTCTTCGACGCTCACCGAAGTGGAGGTGTCCGTCGTGTGCCAAGTGGTCAAGCAGCAGCAGCACCCCAAGCCATCCGTGACGTCGCCATCGTCGACGCCGAAGTCCACCAACACCAAGCACTGGATTCGACTCGCCGAAGAAGGTTGATTGTTCAAGTTCATGCATACATGGGGGGAGGATGATAATGATCCTATCTTGAACTTGCAGGCGCGAGCTTTGGGTACCTGTTGATGGCCATGCTGGTGCACTTTATGCTGGGGGTGCAGGGATTCCACTGGTCGCACAAAGCGTGCTTGACTGCTGGCGCGGCGCTGGCCATCTCCACCGTCATGAACAGCGCCAACTCCAAGTCGTCGAGGTAGTCGTTATGAAAACAACACTATTTGAAGGACTACGTTTCGACGTAGAGGCGGACGACCCATGCGCCGCATGAACTCGTCGTTGATCCCGAAAGTGCACTTGGCCATGACCATCCATCGAAGCCGCCGTCACGCCACAGCGTAATAACGCAAGTCGATCACGATAAATACTTTAAATACAACGAACGACAAAACACGAACGATGTCGTACATGTGAGATAACGTTTGATTTGGTCGAGCCCCGTGCCGAGTAGTACTAACTTATATTTTAAATATCAAGCTTATCTACTTTACGATCGTCCTTTGCGCTCCTGTGAGAAACCAGGCGACAGGAAACTACACTTTGGATGGATCTCCAACTTGATCTGGTGTTGTTGATGGAGTCCATGGTTAAATTTCAACTCGGATTTGTCCCAGAGTGACGATGATGGGCGCTTGGATCTTGTAGATTTATCTCGATATGCAGTGATAGATAAGATCGCACATGCTGGACCACACGTTACTATAGAGTAACCCTGCCGTGGAGGCCAGACCGATAGCAAACTGAAAGCATCCACAGGAATTCGAACGGAAATGCTATCACAGAGCGTAGCAGCCATCGAAAGTTCCTAGCATGAAGGCCTGCTGGTTGGTCACGGCGACCGCAAGACGGCTGCCGTTACAAGACCTCGTCGGCATCTCACTCGGCAGCGCCATGTATGTCGGTAGTGTTCCGTGAGGCCACTCAACGACCCCCCCCTCCCCGAGCACAGACACTTGAGCACGCGACGAAAGTGGTATGCGGGTCCTTGTCCAAGAAGTAGGCGGCGCCAGCCGAGTCGGGTTTCCCAGACCCGAGCAGCGCATGGAAGTAGCTGCCTTCCACCCGCAACAATGTTGCTTTGGATGTCTTGACTTCTGTGCCACCCACGTTCAATGTGACACTGTGGGGGGCCGTTGCCACGCGGTAAAGGACTAGTGCACACTCGACAACAATGACGACAAGTCCAACTAGTAACTAACTACCTTGCTATGAATAGTAGATGGTAGTCGAAGAGTCTGACTAAATCCAAGACACCTTTGATTCAAAAGTGGCTAGCTTCTAGCTATGGCGTTAAAGCTCCATGTATTGCTGCACAAGGCGTCTCGAGGTCGACGACATTTGGAGATCGTTAAACAAAGTGTCGAGCAAGGTGCAAAGTTCGGGGGCGGGGGATGCCGTGGCCAATTTCGTGCTGAGATATGCCATGCCCAGCATGAGCTCCATGAGGGTGTCGGTGTCCAGGCCCAGGAGCACGTCTCGCGGAATGACTGAACACCGCGGAAAAGCTATCCTCCACAATTCCGAGAATCGGTTCTCATCTACAAAGGGACTCGGAGGCGGGTGGAAGTCCCTTGTGGGCACTTGGACCAGCGCGTGCACGTTGCCGTTGATCGGCTCGGTCGAATGCATCTCGATGCGGCTGCCTTTTTCACGCTGTCGCAGAGATTCCTGGAGCGCCAACGCCCGCCCTTCTGAAAACGACCGCGACCGCCGCGCTGCATGCCGGTCATCAGACGGCAGCGACCGCGTCGAGTACGACTGCTCGTGGTGCAGGCGGTGGCGGGACATGGCGTTCCCATTCGACCGGCCGCGGGACGAGTTGGACCGATGCGGAATCGAGCCCGACTCGCCGATGCACGCAAACAGCACGGCTTTGTCGGGGAGGTCGAGCACGCTTCGCGGCTGCAAACTCCACGCCGCGTCCAAGCCGACGCCGTCGCCCGTCACGTCGAGCAGTTCGTACTCGCGAACTTGGAAACGTTTTCGAAGGATGTTCATCAACACGTGCGCTTCTGTGCCGGGAATGTACGACACGGTCAGCGACTGGCTTTGCAAGCTCGGGCTCTTGACGGTGAGGGTGCGCCGGTCCACGTGTTTGTCGGCAAAGAGGTTGAAGTTGAGGCGGAACGGCAGCGGGAGATGGATGGCCCAGAGGTGCACGACGCACGGATCACACACGCGGCCGACGTCGGCTCGGTCGTGTTGCAAGCTGTCGGTCAAGATGAGGCGACTGCTGCAGCACTTGCTGCACACGATGAGCTTGCACAGCCCGCACCGGTGGCGCCAGTCGAAGAACGAAAACAGTTTTTTGCAAGTGTGGCAGAGGTCCACGAGTTGCTTGGACGACCCGTATGCGTCCGACGGTGGCAGCGCGGGTTTCGGCACCGGACGGTCGGGCAGTGCGTTGCCCAGCAGCAGGTCGAGCTCGTGGGTCGAGAGGCTGTTGGCTAGGTACAGCTTGCGCTCTTCCACCATGAGTGCCTGCAGAAACCCCTGGTTGGGGAAGCACACGCCTCGGTTCGCAATGCAATAGTTGACGCTTGTCACCAACGACCACCGCTGTGCGCGCATGATGTAATAAATAGCGAGAGTGCCGGACCGTGAGATGCCTTGGGTGCAGTGGATCAACACGCGGCTGTGCTGCCTCTATATCCATTGGGGGTGTCAGGACGCGTCAATAGTATTACATGTATATATATATATATACAACAATATATATATATACAACAATATGTATATATATATATACAACTATATATATATACAACAATATATATATATATTGTTGTGTTTAGATTCTAACAAATGTAAACTGAAGCGACATATCGAGAAATCGACATATTAATACTGTAAATAAATGTACACAAGAATCATCGACAGACGTATTGAGCCAATCAGATTGCAGGAAACAACCATCCACATTGCCTTCAATTAGTGTGATTCCAATCACCACAGTCCAAATATTGGGTAAGAACCGAACAATAGTGTTAATACCTGTTTGGCAGCTTCAATGAAGCGATACGTGGGCTCAAAGTAGGCACCAATATTCGCGTGAATGTCGTCCTTGATCTTGACTTCGAGGTACAAGACGCCCGCCTTGTCAAACACGTTGGTCGTGTCCAGGCTGGCGTTTACAATGTGCGTGATGCCCAGGTTCCGGACCACGCTGGGCGACTGCGCGTGCCACATGTTGCCCAGATACAGAAACCCGTCTAGGATTTCATTCGGGTAGTTGACGTTGTGGGTACCGCTTTGCGTCCGCGCCAGCAGGTGGTGGTGGTGGCGGTCGTCGTCGTCGTCGATCGTGTTGGCGAATAAAAACTGCGATGTATAAAACGGGTACCGAAAGTGAAACGTCGTGAAGCCATCCTCGAGGTACCGCACACTCGACACGAGTCCTTCGGCCACGACCAAACTGCCCACGACGTACATCCACGGCTTGAGCTCTTTCAACGACACCTTGACAGCGTACCCGTATATGACCACCTGGATCATACTTGCATTGTTAGATATACACTCCAACAACGAGAGGAATGAGAGAGCTCGTACTACGACTGTCTGTACCTCTCGGAGTTTGCGCTTTTTCGCTGTAAAGAGGTGCGCCTGCTCTGGCAGCAGCGCATTTTCAACGGCGTCCAGCGTGGCCGTGTGGGTGGCGGGGATTGAGATGGCCGTGGGAATGCAGTTGTCGTCGAAGTCCGCACGACTTCGGGCGTCCAGCAGCAGCATACCGGTTCCGGACTGCAATCGGTTGAACAGCCAGCGGCACGTGACGCTGGACTCGGGCACGGTGCGCTTACTCTTGCTCGATAGTCGTGCTGTCGGCGACTCGTGGATGACCGCGGGGTGGTGAATTGGCTTGTTCTTGGCGGCCAAGTGGCGGACTTCCGTGTCGTGGATGTTGGATATCGCGGCAGTCAGGCGCGCCTGGCCTTCGCGAGACAGCAGCCCCCCTCGCGTCATGTGCTTGCACCTGTTTCGGCCGTCTTCGTCGTCAAAGCTGCTTGTGCCAAACAGAAAGCGCTCCTTTTGCAGCAGAATGTCCAGGATGGCGTCCCGGGGCATCATGTTGGGCCGACTCGACAGCACGCGGTGGTACGCGTCCACCAGCGACATGTTTTCGGTCTTCATGAGAAAGTACACGACCAACGTGCAGCACCGAGACCGGCCGTACGTGCTGTGCACGAGCACGCGCGACTGAGCGCTCTCCATGTACGCCACGGCCTCGTCGAACGCCTTGAACGTGCTTTCCTCGGGGTTCTCCGTGGACACGGTCACGTCATAGTAGTCTACATGCGAGAATGTCCTCTCCTGGATCGTGCTGGAGCAGTTGACGATGCTGCGGATGGCCAGGTCGTTCACGACCTTGTCGTTCTGGGCGTGGAGGTTGTTGCCAAGGAAGATCCACCCCCTTGATGTCTCGATGAGGCTCACGAGTGGGGGCTCCACGAGTGGAAACATGTCGACGAGTATTGCAGCATCGACATATTGGATGCACAGCGCTGGCGGGACGGTACCACGCGTGTCTAGTAGTCTTGCGTACACCACACTCAAATCTTGGTGGAAATGGGGGCTGGATGGATTGCCCATGACGAACACGTGGGTCAGTCGGACGTCCGTCAACCGCGCGGCAGTCTCTTGGTCAAACTCACAGGAGCGGGCTGTACTATCGTCTGTTGAGAACGAGACCGCCAACACCATTTTGGGAGGTTTGTCAAACGACTTGGAAATGTCCAACACGATGGACCTGGACGCGCTGTGCTGCAAGAAGTTGAAGACGTGGACGGGGGTGACCACGGGAACGTCAAGACATGGCGCGTGTGCGGACGCCGGGGTCTGATCTATACAAGGATATGTGCATGCCTCTTGCTTCGACGTCATTGCTCCAAGGATGCTTAGAGGTCCCGAGAAGGCGGTCGTCGCGTGCTTGACGAAGTCGGTAATGTAACGCGACTTTGGCCTGTGTTCACGATACAGCAAGAAATATTCCTCACAAAATAGTTACTGGTATCTAGTACTACTAATAGTACAAGATAATTACTACTCCGTACTATGAATGGTATTATTAATAATAGTACTCCGAGTACTTCGTACTAGACTTCGACGTCCAAACTACCGGTATTAAAAGCTACTCGAGTATCTAGTACTACTATTAATAGTACTACTGCGCAGTACGAAGTATTAGACTTCCAAAATATTAATAGTACTCGAGTACGTAGTTTTAGTAGTACTATTAACTATTATTAATAATACTTATATTAATAGTGACAGATGATAGTTATTCTGTGAGGAGTATTACTATTAATACTACCCCCTTCCAGATAATCCGGATAATATAAACATACGGGTTCTGTAACTTGTCATGATATCGAACCGGTAACACTTCCGCTTAGCATGCGGAAGGACCCTGGGGTTTTCCCGGTAGCGGAGGTGTATATACTAGTAACGTGTACTCCGATGAACCAACCCTTTTTGTATATTTTCGCATAAGGTGTTGCTTGTCGCGGTAAAAATTACACTGGTTCCGTTTTCTTTTTCATCAGCTTTCCAAAGATATTGGTTTTCAAAGTGTGCACTTGAAATCGAAACGATATAACGTTATTGGAAGCTCACCAATGCATCACATACTGGGGACTAATTCCTCACAGCGTTTTACCCTGCTAGAGACCCAAAATATCCCGGTCAGGGGGGAAATTCCTTAGATAAGACAAAAGCACCGTCCACCCACAAACCTAGGACCCCCTGTGGGCATATTCTTCGCAGTGTAATGTTATTCCCGTGGTTAAGTGCATCAGCAGTGGATAGTGATAGCTGACCAATGCAGATGCCTTAACCCCTAGCTGATATGGGCGGAATTGTTTTCACAATGATAATCCATATGAGTATTCCTTACTGTAGTACTTATTTGTGCAAGCTCTGTGCGTTTTGATTGGCTGTTTGAGCGATTTCATAATTCACCAACAACGAGAGACAATGAATTTAAAACAGTATTTCAAGAATCTACAATTACAGAATCCAGAATCTACAACTTCAACGCATCCACATGTCGCATACGGTACAATGCTCCTTACCATTTCCAGCTTTGCCTTGCACCCTTGTAACCCGAAACCCCTTGTGTTTACATATAATGCGTGCCCCTAAACCACTTGTGTTTTCATATAATACCTGTTCCCGGGGTTATGTGCATCGCCAGTGCTTAGTTAACGCTAACCACTGTCCATGCACATACTGTAACCCCTAGCTGGAGTACTGTACGTAAGTGTGTGTAACAGGTTGACATGCGGATCAAACTGATCCTGATATTCCAAAGCATACAAAGTTTAAGTACAGCAATTGTATGCATGGTTGCAGTTGTATATTCTTGCCAGAAGTTGTAGATTCTTGAACGAAGTTGTAGATTCTTGAGAGAAGTTGTACACGCTAAAAAGGCGCTTGTATTTCCTATTTATCTTTTTTACTTGTATTTTCTATTTATTCCGTCGGGGAGTTGTGCCCCTACTAGTATTGTTGAGGAATTAGTCCACACTGGGAATTTATTTGGTAAATCGACTCATTCATGATAGAAAACAGCAATTTCCTTGATAAAAGAAGTTCCACTGCCCAAGAGTCCTGTCCCCCGAACCCGATACTAGTATCTGTAAACAACAGTGGAACTGTTGCTCTCCAGGAATTAGTCTACACAAAGTGCTTTCCAACAGTACGTTCAACATTGTCATTTATAATCACCTTTTACTCTTTTACTACAGTAGGGATTAAGCGCATCTCAGTGGTTAGCGATTCTAGCTTTAGCTAACCACTGGTGATGCAGTTAACCCCGGGGATTGAACATTATATCTACTCACCGGGGGTAGGACGAAGTCATAGGTTTCAAGGCTACGGGCTAGTAAAGTGTGTATCCCAATGGCATTTTAACACTATTTCGAGTCTAAACAATAGTGGGACTTTTTTATAATCGAAGAATTGCTCTTCCCAACACCATCAGTCATTCAAAACTAATAACAGTCGCCTATAGCGGAAAAAGAGACTTCTGCAGACTTGTTGACAAATATACATTTTTAACGTTAACGTTAGTAGGACTCGTGCTACATGTACAGATTTACCATAGGCTGCTCCTATTTATAGGCAAGAGCGCGGCAATTCCTACTGCCATGGTTGCAGAAGCGATAGCAGGGAGGCCAGTGGAATTCGTAGAGTCATCGGGGAAAACTGTACGGGGATGTGTGCTTTCGTACTGCCCTGAGGACCACACGTGCATCGTTGATATTGGAAACACCATCTCGTTGAAAATCGACCCCAAGGCGACAAACGCAAAGGTACTGAGGATTGTGCTATTTCGACAGCTCAAAGCTGCGCAGGTGGTGTACGAGATTGGGGACATGTACGAGTGGGTGGTCGGGGACCTGGTTGGCTACCGACTGGAGCTGGAGTCGTCCGACGGCCCGACGGCCACTGGCGTATTAAGACAGCACGATTTGGACCTCAAGTGCTCCTTGGTGCGCTTCGACAACGGGGCGAAAGAATGGCTCGACCTTTCGCAGCGCCGAGTTTACCTTTTACTATCAAGCTACGACAACGCCTTAGCTTCTACGCAAGCGGGGCCGCCCAACATTCCGTTGCCATTGCCCTACAGTCCGCGCAAGAGTCCACGGTGTACGTGGTACAAAGAAGGAAATCACATTGAATTGTACGACGCTACGGGGGAATTCCAAGAAGGCGCCGTCATTTGCTCCGAATACGACGACTTGGCGGGAATGTTAAGTGTCGCCAACGAGATCAGGGGGAAATTCGAGATGGCCGTGGCCACGCAGCCACACAAACTGGTGCTCCATGGATTTAGCGTCTTGAAAGACATCCCGGTGGACCACATTGTCGAAGTGTACAGCACCACGAAAGGTGGCTTTCGGCGAGGTACTCAGCTCTGCCTTGTTGCTCTGTCAATCGGTTTCTGGTGTAGGATCTATCTTGAAGAAAGCTGAAAGTGGAAGGTTGATTCCGATTCTGTTTGAACACGCGGCATCCATGGAGTGGGTGGACTTGTCGTCTCAAACGTTCAAGGTGGTGTGCTTTCCAGATAGAATCCGCCCCTTGTCCGCTCGCGAACGAGAGCGACAGCTGTCGGCCGGCGCGACCACAAACGGAGTTGCTCACAAGTTCGTGCGAAACAACCCAGCAACGTTAAACGACGGCGCCACGTTCCGCTTCCCGCCCCTCTCCGAGGGAACGCAGATCGAAGTGTACCACAGAGAAAAGTCCCTTTACGTCAAGAACACGGTCGTGCGTTCCGTGTCCAATCGTCCGTACGTGTACGAACTGCATGCGGTGACAAGTGGAAGTCGGTCCGTCGTCGACTTAGCGGCCATGCGGTGCAAAGTGCTGTGGAAAGACGCGGTGGATTTGGACTTGACGAGCCTCGTGGCGCACGTGATTGAAGTGTTTGTCAAGGAAGAAAAACGAGTGGACGCGGGGCGCATCTGCGGCTGCAACAACAAGAGTCGCATGCTGCATGTTCGGTTCCAAGATGGGCGGAAGGAATGGGTTGCTTTACGAGCCAGGAAGCTTAAGATCAGACTGCACGAGGCTGCGATCGTGCAGCCCTTGGCCTTTACTCCATTTGTCCGACCCCTCCACGACAACCAGACCGCCTCGAGTGACGACGCCCGCCCCAAGCCCCTGCAGAGGAGTCATAGCTACTCCCAACAGATTCAAAACCCGCCCTCCCCGCATCCAATCCGGCGGTCGTTCTCGTCATCCAACATGATGATCGTGCGGTCTCCTGTGTCCCAATTGCGGCGGATGGCGAGTGTTCATAAATCATATGGCGACAACCCTCCTCGGCAGCAGCTCCTTCGCACCGACTCTATGGACAGCATCGATGCGTACTCGATCGACTCGGCGAGAACAGTCGAAAGCTTGAACGAGGGCGACATGATTGACACCCCATCGTCATCTTCTGACTGGAGCATGCAGATTGATCCAGCGTCCAATCAAACGTACTACGTCCACGGCCCAAGTGGCACAAGCCAGTGGCACCCCCCTCCGAACGTCGATATCCACGCCCTCCAATGGATAGCCACCGACGATTGGATGGACAAGCAGAAGCACTGGGTCGACAACCACGACGGGCGTAGAATCCGCGCCGCCCCACCCATCGGGCCCATTCAAGCTGTTCGGCACATTCGAACTAATACACTTTATAACTAGGTAAATTAAGGCATCGACGTCAATCCTTGCGCATTGTACTAATGTAGATGAATTTTCATGAATGGGTGGGTTCACGTTGCGAGTGTGCCTGCGACTATTTAACCAGCATTACAGTTCCAGCATTACAGTTCGCGAGTTCCCATGCATCCAGATTACTGTCGAGTACTAATATCTGGAGAGTGGGCGATATGTGTGATGGCCTACGATGGAAGTGACGTTGAAGTGTAACTGCATCGAAACCACCCGCATATATATTTAGCTGCGTCCGAGTGTGAAACGTACCACTGCGACTGCCTTTCCAACTGTGACCGGCCTCGTCCGCACTCGCTTCCCCTCGCCTCGTGGCAAATTTGAGCCATGACCGGGAGCAGTGCATTGTCTGTGGCGGATTCCCACACAACGAGGTAATCAATCAATGCAGCATTGAAACCTTTGTCATGCACGTTCGTAGGGCATCTCTGCGAACGCTGGACAAAGAACGCATTCGACAAAAGGCACTTCAGATGAAAATGAAGGAAAAGTTGCGCCTGTCCATGTGCGTGCGCATTCAGAAGCTGTCCAAGAAGACCCCCCCCGTGGCCCAAAAACTGTCTGTGGAGATTTTGGCGCATCTCAATCAGCACGGACTGTCCACTCAACTTTCAGTAGGTTTTCTTTCGAGGCATTTCTTGTCCGGACTAATCCGTAGTAGGACAATGACCTTCAAGACCTTGTACACAAACTATCGCATGCGAAAGCACACTCAGATACCGACAAACAGCCCACCTCGTCAGCCCAACAGGCAGCAGCGTTGAGCGGCATTGAAGAAAACTTAGGTGACAAACACAACACAAACAGGAAAGGCACTCGCAACACTCCCCCCAGTTCAAAGTCAAGGTACGAAATACGACCACTTTCAGGCGTGTCTGACGATTTGCTTTTTAGAACTGTCAGCGCTGCAGATGCTGGGGAATCGAGTTATTTGACGGAAGCTCAAATTCAGCAAAGGAGTGTGGGCTTTGTGCTGCCCCCAAAGAAGTCGCCGACGAAGCACAAGCAGGGGGACATCTGGAACGATCTCGTGCAATACCAAGGCCTCGTGGAAGCACAGGAAGCGCAAGCCAAGGTGTCCCCTAGATAGCTCATCGCCCCCCCCAATTGGAAGCAAAATTAACATTGGTTTGCTGTTACGATGTATAGAGGGTTCAAAAAGAAGTCAAAAAGTCCCAATGGTCGAGCGAGTTGGAGGCGCAAATCGCAGCAAAACAGCAACGCCAACTCGAGCACTCTGTCGAGGACGGAAAGTACTTTGAAGAAAGCATGAAGACGTTGGAAAGGCTAAATGACCTGGAAGCGGAAAAGGACAGACGGCGCATCGAACGCGCCAAAGCACAAAACTTGATTCAAGAAGAACAGCGGCAATACAAGCTCAAGAAAAGGCAAGACGAGCTCAACGCCCGACGGTACTGTACTCGCATGCGTTTGATTCAATCTTTTGCTTCATTTGTTTCGACTTAGGGATGCCGAAATTCGCATGGCGGAAACGATTTCCCGGCAAAAGAAGGAGGAGGTGCACGCACGCTCATAACCTCGTGAGGGTTGATGCGGTACCAACTAACGCATACACAACAACAGGAAGCCAAGGAAATAGCTCGGAAAGAAGCCGAAATGAAGAAAATGGCCAAGGTCTTGCTCGAGAATGCCGAGCTACTCGACAAGAAAAAGCAATTGAAAATGGCCGACCGGGAATTGGAACTCAAGCTCGCGGACGACTATATTCGAATGGAGGAACGAAAGGAAGCGCTTCGTCAAAAGGGGCTCGAGGACCTCTCGATGCGCATTCAGGCCAAGATGAAGTACTTTGACGACACGTCCAAGGCGGAAATGGACATCAAGAACAAGGAGGACGAGCTCCGAGTGTTGCGATACCAAGCGGTAGCAGCCCCCCCATCCCCCCTGCATCCCCCCGACATGTTTTCATGTTAGGACTACGAAGCCAAGCAAATGGCCCTCGAAGCCAAAAAGAAGCACGACGCTGCCGCGCGAAATGCCGACCAACAAGCGTATTTGAAAGCGCAAATGAAACTCAAGAAAGAGCGGGAAAGCCGCGAAAAAGAGTACGACATACCCTCACACTTTCTAGACAAACCAACGGTCTCGTGTTTACAACGTGAATAGCGAGTACAACAAGCAAGCCGACATGTGGCGCATTGAGCGGGAAACCAACGAGAAGCGGGAGCGAATGGTGCAGCAGCAGCGCGCCAACAAGAACCAAATGCAGCAACACTGGCTCAAGCAGCAAATCGAAGCCAAGGAGCAGCAGCTGCTCCAGGCGGACCACACCAACTTGGAAGTGCAAATCAACCAGAGCCTGCTGCAAAAGGTTCTCGAGATGAAAAAGGGCGGCGGCGGCGGGTCGTCGTCTTCCAACGTAGTCGTCAAGACGAGGCAGCGGTCGCGGGAGCTCCACGACGTTGAAAGGCGAACCGACTCGACCAAGCTCAAGGACCCGCGGTTAAAGCCCGCCTCGCGCAAGTAGATAGATATCCACCAAGTACATATCAAACACACGATGCATTTTCTATTCCGAGTACACACGTAGTAACTAGTTATTTCAACTTGTCGATGAACGCGCCAATGTGCACCAGCGCCTTTTCTCGGCTGGGGCTGCGACGACTCGTGTCTTTCCATGTCGTCAGCGCTTTGTCCGACACTACATGCGCGTCCAGCAAGTGCGACAGCAAGTCCTTCAATTTCTCTACCACATATAGATCGTTTTGTGTTGAGATTTGCCTTTCGATCGATATGGTCGTTTGTGGACGTACCTGGAGCCACTTCCTGGACAATGCCACTGACGAGGGTCAATTCACCTTCAATGTTGCCGCACAAACCCATCAAGAGGCGGCTGTATTCGGTCCCCGACGTGCTCAGCAGGAAGAGGCACGTTTGCTTGCAAAACAACCTGTCCTTGCGCTTGTCTCCGTGGACGTTGGCCTCTACCCACGCGATGGTCGCATCTTCGTCTTTGAAACCCTCGGCGGCGGACACCACTTGACCGGCGGCGTGGATCGCAGGAAGCGCCTGGCTCAAGTTGAACTTGGTCATCCACGCCAACACATCGGCCACGGCGCGCTTATGACTGGGCAGAATCGACGTCACATTCACAGCCACAAACGCCTTGGACTGGTCATGGGCCACCGCCGGGGGAATCTGCGACAAGTAGACACCCACGATACCCCCCAGCACGCCGCTCTCGACCAGTTCCTCCAGCAAGTCCGCGTCGGCTTCGATGCCACTGATCAACCACTCAAGCGACAGCGACGGAATCGACCGGAAGAAGCGGCTCACTAGCGTCCCCACGTGCTCGTGGATCTTGGGCACGTCGTAGCACACGTCTGGCGCGGCCAGCACGACCGCCTCCAGCGCAAACTTGATGGCGTCGCTCTCCAACACCTTGTCAACGTGCAAAGTCGTGAGCGCATCAAACAAGCCTTGGCGGATCGCGTCCTTGGCCTCGATGGCTAGTTGGAACGATTCCTTTGCGAACACGCTCGACACGACGAGGGGCGACAGGCCTGGCGCCAAGCTGGTCTTGAGCTCGGCCACGCACGCCGCGGCCTCCTTGGCGTCCTGGAGCTGCACAAACTCCTCCAAAATGGCCTTGGCTTTCTTTGCAATGCCTTGCGTGACGTCCTCCGACAGTTGACTCACTTGGGTGGCAATCTCCTTTTGAACCGGTACTTTCGCCGGCTTGTCGGGCAACGGCGGGGTCGCCGCACGACTTCCCCCTCCTCCTCCCGCCTTTCCCTTGAAGCTGCCATAGGTCGCAGGTCGGCCGGACGGGCCTGCCTTGTCCACTTGCTGCGATCGAGATCGGTCCAGATTGAAGTTGCTTCGCTGGGGAGGTGGGTTGTTGCCTCCTCGAGGGGCTCCCCGCTGGCCCATTTCACGCGCTGACGACGAGGACGCGACGCCACGTGACGGCGGCGGCGGGCCCTGCTTCTTGCCCGCGGCGGCGTACTCCTTTTCAGCATCGTTTCGGATTTCAAGCAGCGTCTTCTGCGTCAGTTCTTTCCGCCGCGGCACCCATCGATTGTGGCGCAGGTCGATCACGTCGAGGATCATGAAATTGATGCGCGACGACAGCCGCTTGTCCTTGGTCAGATAGGTCAAGTAGTCAAAGTACTCGGCCATCGCCCCTGGGGACCCGCTGAGCGCTTCGAGGTCCTTGCCCATCGTAGTCAGAAGTTTCGACAGCGACTCGATGCTTTCGTCGTCGGGTGCCGCGGTCGGATTGATCGGCGCGATCTTGTACTGGTCGGGATGGGGGACACGGACCACCCCCATCAGCTTCATGATGCACGCGTGCATGATACGCTCCTGCAGCATACCCTTGCGGAACAGCTCGCCAATGAACCGGATGTTTCCCAGCATTCGCCGTTTGGTCAGCATCTTCTTCTCCGCGTAGCTGGCTTCAACCTCGGCGGTGAGCGTGCCCTCTTCGCGGGCGATGGCCATGGTCTTGTCGAGCTCTTCGTAAATGTTGTCCTTTTCAAACTCGGCTTGGCACGCGTTCAGCAGCAGCCGCTTGAACGACGTCGTCTTGATCGCGTTGATGTTGGCTTCGTCCCAGCTCGCGAACGGGCCATACAGTACTTGGGACTCGCCCAAATCTTCGACGTTTTGGCCAGACCAGTACAAGGCGGCAGACGACGCGGCTTCCCACACTTTGATGAACTTGCCGTTGCGGACGCGCACTTCCTTGAGCGTCAGCCCTTCGGGGGCGGGGATCACATCCAGTGGATCTTCCTCTGCGTTTTCAAACAGTTCGTCGGCGGTCGCGAACGGACCCACGACTTCGGCGTCGACGTCGCTCATCTTGGTCCACCACCACGAGTCCAGGTCTTGGTTGTGGACAATTTGCAAAAAACTCCACACTTGCCAATGGGTTTCTAACCGAACGCACAAGTTCGCGTACAATTCGCAAAAGTGGGGCTCGCCCAGCGCCTTGTCAAAGATGGATGTGATGACACTCGTGAGCATCTCGTCGCTCTCCATGTGGATCTCGCTCAGCTGCCGTGAAAGAACGTCAAACATTTGCGTCGTCATCTTGTTCATGATGCTCTGCACTTGCTTCAGCACCTTCTCCAGGTTGGACGTGGCTTTGACGGGCACCCATCGATTCTCGTCGTTTCGTTTCAAAGCTCCTTCTACGCCGTCGTTGAATGGCTGCTGGTGCGACGACTTGCCACCACGGCCTCCCCCAGGAGTCCGTCGAGAGGTCGTCTGGTCGCGTTGCCATTGCTGCTTGGACTTGTCTAAAGCAACACGAAATATAGGGGGATTTGTCAAGTCGATTCGATATTCAAGTGGGGTGGTCAATTGAATGAAGCAAAATAACCAAATCCGCAGGTAATCGATATACGACCAATCCAAACCCAGATCACGAAGAATCAAGTGGCCAATCAAATTCACTCTTGAACCAATTCAACACCGAATTAGTGTGTGACTGAAATTAGTGTGATACTCGACGATCTTTCCATACAAAAGAGCCAGGACAACGAATCGATCGATAAATTTGGCAAAGAATCAGCACTAAAGTCCAAAATGTTGGGTAAAAGGACATCACAACAAGTACCGTTGTTGTTTCCACGGCTGCTTTGGCGTTGCAATTGTCCAGTGGGCGGACCGCCGCCAGAGTTTTGACGGTCCGTGCGTCGCGCTGCTCCGCGGCGGTCACTCGGGCCGTCGCTCGTGATCTCCATCGACAGCCATCCCGTGGCGTCAGAGTCTGGAAGGGTCGGGTACTCTTCTCGGAAACTACGCACGTTATTACGACCACTGGCTTTGTGGGGTTGTAGTGTACCTGAAGAGAAATCGAACAGAGTAGCACGTCTTGCCCTTCTTCGCAGGCGCGTCATTTGGAGGGCGGGCGATCGTGCGCTTGGGTGCCACCACCTGCTTCACGTCTTCCTCCTCTTCGGCTGGGGCTTCAAAGCCAGGGGGCAGCGACACGTTCGTAGGAGACGCAACCAGCAAGTCTGCGTCCAGCTCCACCGTCCCAAACACAAGACTGGGCTCGACTGGTGTTGCTGCTGCCTTGGGGGACCCCACAGACTTGGGCGACGACAACGCCGGGGTTGCCACGGGGGACTTGGGCTTGGACGTTGGCGACTGCAGGAATTGCAGCTCCTTTGGCTGGGGTTTGGGTGAATGCTGGAATTGCAGCTCCTTTGGCTGGGTTTTGGGCGAATGCTGGAATTGCAGCTCCTTTGGCTGGGTTTTGGGCGAATGCTGGAATTGCAGCTCCTTTGGCTGGGGTTTGGGCGAATGCTTTGGGGAATTTGTCGGGGATGTGTGCACGATTACCTTCGGATGTGGTTTGGGGGAAAGCGGCGTGGCCTCCTTGTGAACAATTGGGGACGACGGGGGGATGGGAGGGCTGATGTGAGAAGCCACGGGGACGGCGGAAGGCATGACAAACTCCTTGGACGCGGCGCGCAATGTCGACGTGGCCTTCGGAGGGTTGGCTTTCTTGTCTGAAGGTTCGGCGAGGCATTCGTTGATGGGCTTTTGCGTCCTGGGGTCGATGATGAGCATCGCCTTCTTTTCACGCGGAGGTGGCACGACTGGCGGCGGAGCGATGGGGGGTGCTAGGCCTGGAACGCCCAGCCCAAGCGACGGATTCAGACCCATTTGCATGGGTGGGTACGGCAAATGAGCCTGGTTCAGGTGAGGGGCGTACATGTGAGGGGGTGGGGCCGCGCCGTAGCCTCCTACATGCGAGATAAGCGTCCATAATGCAACAAGCGTCGTGGATGTACCTTGCATGGCGTAGTACGGTTGTTGGTGGCGAGGATTGTACCCAGATTGTTGCGGGAGTTGGGGGGCGTGTTGCATAGACTGCGGCACGAATGGAGCCACGTTGGGGTTCGGACCTCTATTTGGTGGTCGCCCTAGACCTCCGGGTTGCTGGTTGTGACCCACGCGTTGTCCTTGGCCAGGATGGTGGTGAGGGTGCTGTGGAGGGTTTACGTTGGGGTCGTGGCCTTGTTCGTGTGTCACATGATGCGGCTGCGGAGCTCCTCCTCGTGGAATGAAGGGTTGTCCAGGGCGAAACTCCCCAGTTGGCACCCCTCGCGGCACGTAACCTGACCCACGCGGATGTTGATGTTGTTGGTACGAATGACCGTGGGGACCCGGGTTGTATCCACCAGCCGCGCCACTTTTGTACGGCGCATAGATTGGTCGATTGGCGTCAACTGCATCGCCAGGTGGGGCTGAAAACGTGCGGACAGGAAACTATCGCACCGAAGTGAGGTGTTGAAACGACTCAATTGATGACGTCCGTACCTGATTGGACGGAATGCCGTCGCTGTCCCTGCCTCCGTGACCTTTGACATGATGAGTCCTCATGGAGACGAAGTCACTCGCATACCTGGCAACCTGTGGTTGGCTTGCTGTGGAGCGGACATTGCAGCTGCCACTAAAGTGCTCGATCCGTCTTGGCCTCTTCTTCACCGGAGAAGGGTCAGTTGTGCACTTCGACGTATCCGGATAGCCACCCAGAACCTCACATCAAAATTCATGGGACTCTACTACTAGTATGTCACCTACTAATAGTATCTACTAAACTGACTAAACTAAATTACTCCTAGTAGTACTAGAAAGGGAGCATTTGCAATCTAAAAATAGTACACCGCACTTGAAGCCACTTGAAGCCCCCACGCGACGTGATCATGCAAGGTCCCGGCGCCGAGAAAGCGTACGTCTATCATCATGCATCGGGCGAAGCTGTCATGCGTGGTATACGCTAGGAGGGCTGCGATGCCTCAGACATTGACGTTGGACCACGTGTCTCCAGCTACTCGACTCTTGGAAAAACGACGACAAATGTTTGAAGTCCAAGAAGCATTGGATGCGCAAAAGGAAGAGTTCTCCCGCCGCGAGGTACTTGTTGCCGGTGCAAACTGAATTGGCGTCACAAGAACACGGTGGGGGTTAGGATGCGTTTCGTCGACGGGAGGAGGGGCTTCGAAAGAAGGACCTGGAGTTGCAAGAGTCGCTCATCAAGTTCAACAAGTTCCTGCAAGAGAACGAATCCAAGCGGAACCGCGCCATCAAGCGCGCGTCCGACGAAATCAAGCAGCGTTTGGCCAAGGAACAAGACGTGGCGAGGCTCAAAGAGTCGCTCGAACGCTTCAACGACGAAAACGAAAAGCTCAGCAACGAGGTACGCAACCCGCCGACGGCGCTCGTTCACGAATTCACTCTCGTGCCAGGTCAAGAAGAACATGAAGTACACGCGGTACTTGGAACTCGTGCAGGAAACTGTCCCAGAAGACTACCCCGAGATCACGGACCTGGTCAACCGGTACAACACGCTCAAGGACGCGAACCGGGATTTGTCGGAAAACCAGCGGCTCCACGAGTCCGACAACGAGCGCAAGCGCGTCAAGTTCGCCACGTTCACCAAAGAACGAACGAACGACATCCTCAACTTCAACAACGAGATCGCGTCGTTGCAAAAGCAGCTGGAAACCCGCGAATCCAACGCCATTCGTCTCCAGCACGACGTACGATCGATCGCATTGTCTTTCTTTTGCCCAAAATTTGGACTTTTGGGCTGAAAAAATCGCCAAATCTATCAATTTTGTACTGAATTTTGTATGTAAAATGTTGTCCTGTAGTCGTTGTACTCACACTAATTTAAATAGCACACTATTTAAACGTTCATGATGGATTGGCTAAATTCTTCTGCCGATTCTTGTGTACATTTATTTCGTTGTGTGGATTCATAATTCTCCAGTATCACTCCAGGTTAGAATAAACACAACAATACTATCGTCAACAGCCCAATCTGGAGTCACAATAATATGTGTCCAGCCCAAAAGTCGCCAAATCTATCAATCGATTGTTTGTACTGACTTTTGTATGTAAAATGGAGTCTTGGGGTGATTTTGGAATCACACTGATTCAAGTCACACACTATCATTTGACTTTGTGGATGATTTTCTTCTACAAAGCTAACTGTATGGGTTACATCCTTCTGCCGATGATTCTTCTGCACATTTACTTGGTTATGTCGGTCGATTCTATTCCATGTCACTCTAGTTGCGAATAAACACACTACAATATTAGGTGGACACGACCATCCGCATCACGTCAGACAAGACGCTGGAAGTGGGTCAGATCTTGATGGCAGTGGGCAACTTGCTGCAACGGTCCACGTGCGGCATCCACGGCACCATCTTGAAGCACATTGAAGTGAAGGACGTGCCCAGTACCAGCGACGACTACCAAGACAAGGCCGTGGACGACATCGAGTTGCTCCAGAACGGGCGCAAGGCCATGGCCGACCTCGACGTGATTGCATCGTACATGGTGGACTTCACCGCGATCGTGCAGACCAGGATCGAAACCCAGCGGGCCCAGAAAAAGGCCGCCGCGGCCGCCGAAGGAAACTCGAATGGACCCAGCAACATCGTGACCACCAAGCAAGAATCCAAGTAATAAACTAGTCGTGTTCATGCTTACGGGGTTTCTTCAAGCCTAGACAGATGCACACACTATGTTGAGGTCTTGTGGTCCGCCCAAGTATGTATACCTTTAATGTCGTTCACCACTGCTTTCAATCGCTTGCTTCGAATCTAAACAGGTTTTTCGTTGAGTTTATTTCTACATGGAGAATAAATACCAAAAAAAATGGGGAACACTATTTAGCCAATCCGAATGATGGAAATCAGCAGCATCAGCTTTTAATCCGTGTGAGACCTCAATTAGTGTGAGTACAATTGGACAACACTTCACATACAAAAACAATAGAGTCGTCCAAAGAATCGATCGATGAATTTGACGAATCACCACACAAGTCCAAATTTTGGGTAAATGGACAATACCAAGATGTGAAGTTAATATGAAACCGGTCGTCATGTTGTCAAGTCGATTCGAAACTGGAGCCCTCAGCAGAATAGTCGAATGTCGTAGGAATATCGATTAAAGATCCGCCTGAGCCAATCAAATCACGTCATGTCGAATTTCTGCCAATCCAAACGTTTGACCCCTCCGCATTGGGCAAAACCACATATATACTAATATTTGTATAAGATTAAATAAGACCAAATAGATCCGAAAGCTATTTGGCGAAATGACTCTTTATTTGGGGTGCAATGCACAAGATACAGTAGACGCACCTTTGCGTATTTGATATTGTCGTTGTACGATGTAAAGTAGCCGTCGATGCGGGTTTGGGCTTGGAAACCCCGGGAGACGGCGCGGACGACGGGAAGGAGTTTCGAGTCGACCGTATCGATGGGCCAGCCAAACTCTTGGCCGCAGAACACGCGCAGGTTGGCCAGGTCCGGCACCGACCACGAGAAGCGCGCCGTGGACTTGTCCGTGTCGGGGTACTGGTACGCCTTGATCACGTGGGGGTTGGGGAAGATGGCACTGACGTTCCAGTTTCGCCGAATCGACTGGTGCGTGAGCTTGAAGCGCTCGAGCGGACTCAGCGCCGCCAACTCGTCCGCCGACACTTTCTTGGGTTTCTTCAAGTCGTCCGTAATGTCAAACGAGTTGACCCATGTGCCGAACTACAAACCCAAACAATGCAGCATATATATATATATATATATATATATATTGTCAAGTCGATTCGAAATTGGAATCGGGTGCTCAATCGAATGAGCAGAATCACCAAATCCGGTGCAGACAATCGATATACGACCAATCAAAACCCATAGCACTAACCAAGTAGCCAATCAAACCCACTGGTTGAATTAATGTGTGACTTCAATTAGTGTGATAATGGACGATGTTTATACAATAGTCAGTACAAAGCATCGTACGTGGCGCAGCCCCTCGAGACCCCCGAACGCCCCGACAATCTCCGCTGCATTCACAATGCCAATGCCGTTGATGCCGTCGGTGTAATCACTTCCGAGCAACAATGCCAATGCAATCTACGATTATATATTAGATATTTAAAGACCCTTTTATTCTACATTTGCAATTAAAACAATCGTTTACAGAATAAACCCACGAGTATGATTTCCACGCCAAACTCACCATGCGCTCTTGGTCCAGGCCCAATTCGCGCTCGAGATCGGCGGCAAAGTACGCTTCCACGAATTTAGAGTCTTTAAACATGTTTTTGTACACTTTTTTCCCGCCAAACGCGAAAATATCGCTAAATTTATCCAAAATCAACCACAAACTTCAAAAATCGGGCGAATCCTGCCTACCTGTCGTCTGTGATGATACCTTGCACCAACCCGAGCTGCTCCAACGTCGCGCACTGCGCTTCCGCCTCCATGGGACACACCACGAACGGCACTCCGAACAACCGGAGCAGGTCCATCACTTGGCTCTTCATCTCGTCCGTGACGCCGTCCACATCGCGCAGCTTCTGGTTGCGCAGCTTCCGCAGGTCCGCCTCCGACTCATCCAAAGGACTGGGCAATGCTTGAGGCACTGCATTGTCTCGTGGAAGGTATCGCATGGGCGACTCCTCTGGCGACCCTCGGGGCAAATACCGCATCGTTTCTGGGCTTGCAGTCTTGTTCAGTGGACTGTGGCTCTGCGTGGCTGCCTCAAATTGAGTTCCCAGTTGTTTGTGTGCCAAGATAGCTCGCTTCACAGCCCCAGCAGCCCACTGCCTGCTCGCAGTGTCAATATGTCACACGACCTCATTCAACGTTGTTACGTGAGATTGGTTGCAGTAGACATCGCAGCATGCAGGGCGCTGGTAGTCACGTCCTCTTTGCCTTCGTCGTCGTCCTTGGAATGCACAAGTTCCTTTGCCGGAGAAAGTCGTTCCAACACATCGCTCGAGGTCGCCGCTTCGTTCTACAAATTAGTATAAGAAAAAACACAAATATATTGTGGCTATTCGGTAATTACAAATGTCCACACGCTATTGGCTAATCCAAATTTTAGTGGATTTGATTGGCTCTTACAGAAAGGACAAATATTTTCAACCAATCAGAACTCAAGCGTGATGCAATATGGATACGACAAACCACGAAACGAATACTTTTGCAAGTTTATAGTGAATTCGCTATATATATATATATATTCACCGTCGTACATATTGTGTTGGCAATGGTTTCGACGGAACTTCGTCGGTATTTTCTTCCCATTCTACACGCAGTAAAACACAATGTAAGCTTTTGTGCTCGGCGTGTCGTGTCAACCAAAATCGGACGTGTCACTGCCAAGAGTCGCTTGACGTGGTTTCTCGTCTAAACAATGCAATCAAAAGTAGCCCTTCACGAGATGAATAACTTACCAAAAGGACTGGTCGTCCCAAGGTCGGTGGAGCAACTCTTGTCCGCTTCTACCCACACTACAACGTAAAAACAAACGAGGATGGCAAGTACGTACGTACGTGTGCTCACCGCATGCTCAAGTTCAGGGGGAGCAACAACGTCTTCCCACTCTATACAACACGAGCTTCAACACGGGTAGACATAATATAATATATATATATATATATATATATATATATATATATCGATGCACACCAATGTCCGATTCGTCGTCAGGGGTACTGGATGCTGCTTTGGCTTGCACGGGAGTATGGTCGTCGTGTGAAGATTGTTTCGATGTCTCGTGCGCAAGATCGGACGGGGGCGCGTCCGATGCCAACTTAAACGCATTGGGTAGGTCACATTTCACGAAAACCTCGTCGGTGGCCCAGTCCAGAACCACCGGGGCGTCCTTTTTCCCAGCGGAAAACCAGCTCGGGTGTTTTGTGTCCAACGTGGTCGGGCTGAAAACAGCGCAGTCTTGCTTTGCTGTCGCGTCAACGGACTTGGCTGCCTGGATGCGAACATGCTCTGAAGAGCGGCCAACGGATGACTCGTCCAGCGCGTGGGGCGCACTTGCTTTGGTGTAGATGTATCGCCGACCCCCTTCGCTGGCGATCCGCCGGCCGGACTCGGGGGAGTCGATGGCACTTTTCCGAGAGTTCATGTCCCGCTTCAGCTTGCTCGCCTTGAGGAACGTGCTGATTTGCGCCATTGAATACTCTTCCGGCTTGCCTGCCAACGTCAGAAACGTCTCGCGCGCATCCTGGCGCCGGTTACGTTGGTACGCTTCGAAGTTCTCGACATCAACCATCCACGTCGCATCGTAGTCGCTGTCGTTCCCGTCGTCCGCTGACTTTTCCTCCGAGGACATCGCGTCGTACTGGAAGGCTTCAACTGGTTTAGCAGCAGGAGAACGCGGTACTTCGGATGGAGGGAGTTGTTTGGAGCCCTTTTCTCGCTGCTGTTTGATCAAGAGTTTCTTGGCAGTTTGCGTCAGCGTATCTTGACTCTTTTCTCGTCTCGATCGACGCTGCTGCAGCGTCTTGAGCTTGATTGCAGGTGTGTCGCCGTCGAAAACGAATACAGGTCGAATTCCATGGGTCAACAACTTCGAGATGCGATAGAATGTCCCAAGAAGGTGTGCATTCCTCATCATCGTTCCATCGTCAGGGTCGCGCATGGCCTTCACAAACTGGGTAAGCCAAATGCTCGCATCAACCGCTAGAGTTTGCCCGCTTAAACTCTCCATCGAAACTTGTCGGCCTCCTGGAGCTAGAAGCATCCACAATCCCGTTACCCCCATCGCCTTGGTGAGTTCACGTGACCAACACTCACACTCAGTCTACACTCTAAACGTCAAATCAACGTAATCACCTACCTGTACGTATTAAATCTTTAAAACTAACTTCCAATATTACTGATATCAATACAATTGGACTGTAGTAGTGCTTCCGAAATACTTCGCAGTACAACGTATTGTGCTTTGCACCTTTTTTGGCAATTCCAGGGTTAAATTCATTGTTTAAAAATTTCTCAGGCTTAAATAATGTCTAAAGTAACTTGAATAACGGTTGGGTGCGTTGTTTAAAGTTACTTCATCTATTGCGATGATTGGTTGGTTGAAGGTGGTTTTACAGGCACTTTCGTAAAACAAGTTGTTTGCCGTTTTCATTCTGGCAAACAACTTGCTTTACGTCAACATGTCAAGGTGCTTGACGCAATGAAACTGAAGGAGCTATGGCCACATACATGACCTCCCATCCGTGATCACTACAGTACTAACATTATCTACTCCGAGTAATGTATATAACGTTAGGGATATAGTTAGGCTACAGTACATGTAGTCGTCGCTCTGTCCAATGATTCAAAGCTATGCCATACCTTCAACTCTTGATCTGCTCTAACCTTAGCACTGTACGTGGAAGGCAAGGGCGCACTACGACTACACGATGTATAGTACTCCCATTTCACATCCTAATACGGTATGCATCGTGATGAACTGGTGGTTGTACTGCGTAAGTTGGCCTGGTGCTGCAACTCGATTAGTTAGCAGCTGAAATAAAGTAAGGGTTGTTTTATTCTGCTGAAATGCAAAACTTGTGTTTAGCGTTGTTTTATCTTCAATCGGGCT